TATAATAATATTAGCTGCCTAACTAAAATGATAAAACCTGTCACTTTAATATCTTTCTATGAGAATTTTGATTCAGAAATATAAAACATTACTCATACTCGTACTCATACTCGTTAGAAGTAAAAATATTTATATATTGCAAATTCTACTGCAATATTATATTGTATTGTCATACATACACATGATTTCCTAAGTATAATATGTTATAGACTAATTCAGACTAAATGAAGAAATTTTATTATAGGTAGTTATTTTTATTGCTAATTCAATCATTGAGTTGACCAAACAACGTTTAGGTTTTAATAGAAATATATCTGCTGTCACTTTATTTACCCGCGTATTTACGTTCAATTTAGATATAAAATCATACAGATTTTGAAAGCTAAGAAAATCTACGCGCTAAAATAAAATTATCTGTTCGTAACGTACAAATTACGTAGGAATCCACGCCACTCTGATTGCGGAGAAACTTTGATGAGTTTTTATATTCACGTCCTCCAATGTTTCTATCAAAATCATACCGTATAATTTGAAATGTCTTTATTTTATTAGGGCAATAACAACCACAAAATAAATTACTTTTTATGTAAGTTACATACATATTATGACCCTTTAAATCTGGGCAAAAGCGAGTCAGTAGTCTATATATATAATGAAATTGTAACTAAGCCTACTTACTCCGCTAAATCCGCTCATAGCCAAAGGCTGATCGCAGATATGCACAGAGAAAAAAAAAGAAAAGAAAAAAAAAAAAGAAAAAAAAAGACTACTTACTATTTACTTTGTACATTAAATATATTTTGGCAAATCTTATTAAAATGGACATTATTATCGATACAGAGGCTGAATCTATAAATTAGAATTTTTGTCTGTCTGTCTGTAACCGCATCACGGAAAAAGCACTAGACTTGTTTTGATGAAATTTGGTATGATTATATCTAGTTATTCGGGTGAACATATTATAAGATACTTTTTACTGCGGGAAAATATCTCATCTCTGAGAAATCTATACTAAACGTTAAAACGAATAAAATAAATAGGAAAATTCTTCTTGTTAACCAAAGTTAGATTTATAAGATAAAGTAATTTCAAACCTTTATACGGGATATAGTTCATAAATAGATCTACCAGCAGATATTAGCTCAACGACCATGTATAAACGAATTCGGTCAGTATACCATTAGTCCTTAAAGAGCACAAAAGAATTTCCTTACATATTTTATTTCCCTCATTATACAGATCAGTGCTTTCATGACTTCATTCTAAAGTATGTCCGTAAAAGTTATATTATAAAGCAAATTAGCCTTTAAAACTTACATTACAAGAACTTTAATCGTATGACGTTATATCTCTGAATATTAACCGTTCATCTATGTACCCACATCTTTGATCTAACATTCTTCGACGGGAAATCCTGCTCAGCACCAAAGAGAACTTGTATTGAAGTTTTCTAAATTACGAAGCTTCACAATTAAGTTGGATAGAATTCTCAGTCAACGATTAAGTTCTTAATTAGTTAAATGAAACGGGGCTTACAAATTATAATAAGACATTTAATACCAAAATGAACTGGAAAGTTATTTAATATAGTTTATTAAGTTTAAACTATACTCGTATTGAACTCGACTATTATTTCAATATTGTTAAATTCCTAATAATTAATTACAAGACAAATATTATCTTTACTAAAATTATCTACGCTAATATTATAAAGAGGGAAGTTTGTATTTTTGTATGTTTGTAACGAATAAACTCAAAAATTACTGGACTGATTTAGATGAAATTTAGTAAGAAGATACTTTGAGATCCTGGGAAGGACATAGGATATCTTTTATTTCGGAAATCATCTCTTAAGGGGGTGAAATGGGGATGAAAGTGTATATGGGGAATCTAGATTGATTCCCCACATACACTTTCATTTCCATTAAAGTCCCGTCAAAATCGGTCCAGCCATTTCAGAGATTAGCCGGAACAAACAGATAGACAGACAGACAAAAATTGTAAAAAATGTTGTTTTGGTATATGTACCGTGTATACACCCATATACATTTAGTAAAAAGCTATTATTTTTACATTAGAAACAGACACTTTAATTTTATTTATCTGTATAGATAATTAATAATTTTTAGATTTTTCAAATAATTAGTAAACAGTGAGTGGTTTTGTAGCCAAATTCTATCTACTTGCACAGCAGTGTTATTAAAACGATAATCGCTTTTATCTGACAATAAAGTATTGGAAATCTTATGAAAATATTACCTTTTAATTTTTAAATTATTTGATTTATATTTTAAGCTATCAATAAAATAGTATTTTTTGAACTTTCAACAAATGAAGAGAGACCAACAATTCCGTCGTTACAATATAATGGATAATGCAAAGGACGGTCCCATAATACTCGGGGAGCAATAATCGCATACAACATGAATCGTCTATTCATAATAAAATGATTTAATTTCGCTTTTCGTATTCGGAGTGGGGCATATATTCGAAACACGCATTACACCCTCATGTTTGTTAAGGGATTTCTTTAATAGAACGGAAAGGAGGTTCGTGAAACATTGGGCGGTGGGACAAGTAAAAAGTGGTATTTAGAGCTTAGTAAATTAACCGGTATTATATTACTACATGTTTTATTATTTACATTTACACGTTTCTCCTTATAATAATATCTTTTTACTAACGAATAACAAGTCATTAAATTAAAAATTAAAAAAAGTACAATATACTATTCATTGAAGTTATTTCAATGATTCTAAACATTTTTCTACAGTATTTTCGTAAAGAGTTAAGTATGTTGCAGATTCCAGGCGATGCTGATGATAAATCTGTAGCATTAGGCCAAGATTGCCATATCGTTGCAATGTCATTAAAGTTACGGGATACCAACTTTAGAATGGATTATATCTGAGGAAGTTGCTTGCTTGCATATCCAATTACCATCTAGAAAAGAGCTGATAGCCTGCAAACGACTGCACGAATTTTCTTGATATATAATTAAGAGCACTCTCGATCAAGTCACCTTTCAAACAAAAAACCAAATTGATTTCGATTTTTCCATTTGAGCGCTACGATGCCACAAATAGACATATAAATACACACGTTAAACTTACACCCTCTTTGTGTCGGAGGTTAAGAATGTTTTTTTGGCATATTTATTTTCATTGACACATTTTTGTTAACAAACCGCTATCGCTTGTGACATGTGCTTAGCTCTCAATACAGAGTAATGTCGGAAGGTCTTCAATTATTAAACAATGCAATCGCGAGCGCCAACCCTAGCGTTAATACTTGATACCTAGTATTTGGGTCACGGAGCGCAAAAGAGTATTCTCTAACTGTAATATTTACCGAAGTTTTATTGGGTTTGTACTTTTACATTGATTAATTAACTGCTTCTTTGGTATAGTGCCTAGCCAGTACGGCCGCAGATCTGTGGGACCAGAGTTCTAGTCCTGAGGTGGGTCAAGTTATGTTCATTGGCTTTTTCTGTTAATAAATTTTCAGTAAAAATCCGGAGTTGGGAAGCTGGCGGTGTCATACACCCACGTCAGAGAGTATGTAAAGCCATGTAAGTACAAGGAATAAACGGATCACTTGTGTTTGCGTTTATACTTGTATATCTTTTAGGCAGTTGGTTCGCTTCCGCCGAAATTGATCAGGGGTATATTATTTTTATGTACATTTAAAAATTTGGTACTCAAACAAAATAATATGATAGAGCTTACTTTTTAAAGAAAAATTGAAAAAATGGTAACATTTACTTGATATAACAAAAAATATTAGGCAAAAAATTTAAATAAGCTATTCTAATATATATTCAATATATACAGTCTGAAACATAATTATGAAAAAAAAAATACCCAGGTTTATTTGAAGATTTACTAATTACCAGAAATTCTAGTTAAAACATCAGTTTGCTTTCATTTGAAACTTCATCCATTTAACCTCTTTTGGTTATATTATTTGTTTCTTAAGTAATAAATACACTTTAAAGAATAAAATTAGCTTTTCTTGTATTTATTTTATTTGTATTATTCTTAGATAATAATATCATTTAAAGAAAAAAACTTTGTATGGGTAATTAAATAATACACGGCTATCTTAATTTAAAATATTTACTTGAAAAATTTAAAATCACTACTAAAACCATTTCATATCCGTTAACCAAACATTAATACAATTTTTATTTGGTTCATAACTTTACACAACTAATCATGTTTTGAAAACATACTCACCTTTAAATATTAAGCACTCTAGATTATTTTCTGAAATAAGGCTGAGCTCACACTAAATTATTTTGTAATATGTTTGAAAAAAAAAAGAATTTTTCAAAGTAAAGTGACTATTATCTTTATGCTCTTATTAAAATAAAGTATATTAAAATGAAATAGTTTAAAACCATTTGTAAATATGTTAGATAATTTAAAGAATAGGTTGTGTGAACTCATACTAAAAATATTCTGACTGACACATTAGAAAATTATATGAAAGCATCTATTAAGTATAATTTGATCTCAGTTCAGTACAAATTAAAGGAATAGTAAAAATCGAGAAAATTCTTCTAATATGTCAGTCAAGACGACTTATTAGTCAAAACATAAGTGATCTATAATGTATCAATAATACAACAATTTCGTTAAACCAACTTATTCTAGCCTAAATATATTTCAACGTCAGTTCTCTTCTACATAATTTGCTTAACAAGCTACTCAAACATTACTGTGCTTTTGCGAGACGCATTTACTTTACCACGTCCTATTCAAAAATACATCAATTTTTGAATGAAATATTTAAATTCTTAGATTTGTGTAACTTTTAATGACTAGACTCAAAAAAAATTTGAACTGCTCATCTAAAAAGGTTTTAATAACGTGTGTGTTAAACACTTAAATAATATAAACTAACTGTCTTAATACTGATCGATGCGTGTTACTAAATGTAAACGTATGCCATGACTAGAGTGAAAAAAATAGGTTTTAAAAATGAATATCAGTCTAATTGGGAAAGCAACGCCTCTCGACGACCGTCGCACAGTCGATCCTAGACATTTCCCTGAATATCCGTGACAAATTAACTAACATATTAACATCGTTGTTTCTACATAACCATAAATTTAAGATATTCTCAGATGGAGAACATGTGTTCGAGAAATAATAATAGAAAGAAGTCAGCTTCAACTTCTCCGCGAGAAGCCGCCAATCGTTGCCCTTCGTCGTCTGACAATCTAACAGTTTGCAAAGTATAACTCTATCAGATTTAGTCAAAATATTCGTCCTATAATAATTATTGTCAACCGTAAAACTATTTCTTTGCGAATTGTTTCTATAAACGAAATCATATCGACCCTCTTTTTTCGATAACGATGAATAATTGAATGGATTTTCAAGGATATTAACGCTGTAACCCATTTCCACGCCCGAATAGCTGAAACGTTTATTACAATTGAAATTCGAATTAAAATCGTTTGTTTTTAAATTGAAAGTTATCGAGTTGGACTGCTTTTGTTTTTGATAAACGGAGATGTTTAATTCTAAGCAATTTATCGCGTCTGTTTGTTTCAAAATGAAATGGCAGTGAAGAGATCTTATGTTCATGTTCCAAATATGAGAAAACGAAAGCTCTTGGTACTTCCCACCAGATTGTATCTTCCATCCCGTTCCCACATCTCTAACATTGACGCATAAATCGGAACAATTCTCTTGAAAGTAAATTGTTTTAGGATCACAGAGAAGGAAACCTCCCGCGCGTCTTTCACTTTCAAAACACTCGTAGAACGCATATGGCGTATCATTAAACACGTGCAAATGGAGGTTATAATAACCGTCGGTACGTTTGCTTAGGAAGAGGGCTAATTTCAACAATTTCGCATCTAAAGCACTGAAACTTCTTCCAATGAGAACAAAGTCACTTAGGAATTCACACACAAGGTACACTTTTGATGGATCGACTTGTGCAAATATGGGTGTTCCAGGAGTTTCTTGGCCGAGAGTCAGGACTTTTCTCCACTCCCTCGAATTAATTTCTTCAGGTTTTTGTAAAATCGACAATACCCAACTTGAGTTCTTCAAAGCGGCACAATGTGGAAATGTAAGTACGACGGCCTTGCAGAAGTGAAAGTTTTTTGGCCCACATCTTATTATAGGGCTGAGCTGCGTTTCACCTGTTAAATTAAATTAGAATTGAGCTACATTTATACCAAAATTTCGCAATAAATATGTCGATTCAGGTCAAGATATATTTTGAATTTAGGTTAAAACCTTATATAAGTTGTCTCGCCGAATACGGTCAAGTTTAAAATAACTTAATCGAAAGAGCAAAATCTAGTCTACTTCAAAATATTACCCTCTTGTAAATTCGGTTTATTCCATTCTTCGTCCGTGACCTCTATAGAAAATAGTTCTTCTCCTTTCTCAACTACGCCATCAGGGACAAACAGTCTTACGCCACATTTATCCAAATTGAGCCAATCGCCGTCGCTATTTACAATTTTTGACGTAGCGGTCTCTAAATATTGTGAATTCAAAAATTTTGAGTCTACTGAAGCATTGTTTTTGAGCGAAGGGGACATTTCTACACTTTCATTGCCGTACGACGATCCCGCTAAAAATGAATACTTGTATTATTACACTATGTAAACAATATCTGTAAAGTGTCAAGTTTAAAACTTAAGCAATAAACTTTAAAGCGTGACTATATGAAATGTTAAATTTCTTTTTTATAACATACAAATAGCTAGTGGCGTAAAATATTTATTATTTTAAGTTGATTCAAAATACTAGATTTTATCTCATGTAGTCACTCTGTAAAGTATGTGACATGTGAACTCACAGCTCATAAAGCAGCTGGAGTCAGAGCGGTCTGACTCCTTGTCCTTGCAAGCGAAGCTCTCCTGTGTTCTTACCTCGTGATCTATTGGGGACATGTAACTGAAATAAAATACTTCATTTCAGGCTACAGATACATATAGATACATATGAAAAGAAAATACGAGTAAATGCTGTAATAGTTTTATATTGTCAGTTATATCGGAATACAAATCAATTGCATAATATTTAAAATATTATATTATACTAGCGACTCACACTCTCGGCTCGGGTTCGTTCTTGGTTACGTTTTAACGTTTAGTATAGGTAGATTTCGCAGAGATGCGATAGTTTCCCGCAGTAAAAAGTACCCTATATGTAGACGCGAAAAACCAGATATCATTATACCTCATCAAAATCCTTCCAGTGGGTTTTCCGTGACGCGGTCACAGACAGGCAGACAAACAAAAATTATAAAAACTGTAGATCCGGCCTCTGTATCGTATATAATCTGTATATAATAATAATGTTTATTTCAATAAGATTTACGAAAAAAATATGTACAGATTCGGCTTAGTTACAATTTTATTATATGTATCGATTCTTGTGATCATTTTACTATATCAAAACATCTACAAGCTGTTATATATTTCCAAATATTTTTTCCTTGCATACCTACCTTAGTTCTGAAATTGTTGTTACATGGCTATATTTAGCAGTTTCAGTATTAAAAAATGTCCTATTAGGTAAATAAATGGTGTAATTTTATCATTAATTGTTTAGAAAGACTAACAATTAATTTTATACGCCAGCATTGTTTTTTGCAAATTCAATTAGCTCAGTCCCCTATTGAGCATTTAAAAGAATACTAAATTGGTCGCGTCTATAAATTAACTTCGTTAGGGGAGTTTCAGGCAATTGTATGTAGAATACATGAACCAGACGTTAGTATGTATACACTTTTTTCTATTTTGTGTAAAAATACTTAATATATGGGACTGTGAGCGCAAATTCATGTACTAAATTTTTTTAACAACTTTTTTTTCTTTGACATACTTTAAAATGTAATATTTTTATTTGGTTATGTAAAACAAATCTTAACAATAAATGTTTTTTACGAAAATCATTAACATATTACGAATTCGTTTTAAAAATATAGTTTAAGCAGTTTTTGCTATTACTACCTAAAGAATTCTAAAAGTAGAAGATAAAAATTCATTCCATGGTTGATACTATATCACGTTGTAAGACATGTATGTACCTTTAGTATTAAAATAACTCTTACTAACATAAATGACCTTTTCTATTTATACATATAATAAAATTCATTCATTATAATAAAATTAAAATATTTTGGAAAATCTTATTGAAATAATCATTAATATCGATACAGAGACCGAATTTATAGTTTTTACAATTTTTGTTTATCTGGGAACGGATCACGAGAAAACCACTGGACAGATTTTGATGAAATTTGGTATGATGATAGCTGGTTCTCCGGGTCAACATTTAGGAGACTTTTTGAACACGTGCGGAGCGAGGATGAGTCACTAGGTCACAATAAAAACTAAAACGGAGAATCGAAAGCAGTTTCTACTTGGAATCAACCCAATTAATAACAAATCCATTTCATAATTAAAGTCCCACACAGTTTCATTTTAATTACATACCATATTAACTTTAATACGACTCATAGATTTTATATAATAATAATTAAAAACGGAATAGTGCAATTTGCATAATTGACTGTTATTCATACAAAGCTTTGTACTAAATGTTACAAACGTCGCATCTACTTTGGAATCAGTTGTTTTAAATAATCTGATATTCAATAGCTTTGTTAACTAGTGGCGATTTAATTTTAATTAAAAATGTATTATTTTGCCTATAAAAAATATATTTTGATTTTTTCTAAAAAATAACACACTGTAGACTTGCATACATCTTTAAAGTGAGTATGGTCTCTTATAACTGGAGGGTAAAATAAGTGTTAAAACTGACATCGTCAAGTTCCCATAAAGATAAGTTAACTACACGTTATGTGTACGTCATGTTTTTTTTCTGAGGAACTGGTCTATTAGGTGCAATAAAAATATAATCCATACTAATATTATAAATGTGAAAGTGTGTTTGTTTGTTTGTCTTTCTTTCACGTCAAAACGGAGTGACGGATTGACATGATTTTTTTGTATGGAGATAGTTGGAGGGCTTGACCGCGGGAAATAATCTCATTTCTACGGGAAAACACTTTATAATACAAGCCAAAAATTATTTATCATCAGAATTACTTTAAACTTGGTATTAATGCTCTTCAACACAATGAAATAAATACGTGTTATAGCATTTTTCGAAATTCATCTCATAACGGGGTAAAATCGGGAATTGAAAGTTTTTATGAAACCTACATTTTAGAGTTTTTCTGTAGTTTTAGCGCGAGCGAAGCCGCGGGTTCTGCTAGTGTTTTAATAAAGTATTTTGCCAATGATTTTTGGTTTTAATAACTTTGAATCGGTTTATTTAGAAGTACTGAGTTTTCTGGGAATGCTATGCAAACCTTTTTACTCGACTGCGCCAGAAGGAAGGTTTTTGTGAGCCTGCAAGGCGTTGCTGCTGTCTAGTATTGCAATCTCCAATGCTGAAAACAAAGTAACTAAAAACTTACCTATTAGCCAGTTGTGGTACTTCATATAAATGTTCGTTTCTTGCACTCGTCATGCTTGTCTGTCTGTGCGTGCGCCTGGAATCGACTGTGTGAAACTCTTCATGTATAGTCAAGTCTGGTTGATTTGTTAGTGTTCGCTTTATTACATTACCGAAGTAATTTGTACCTGATAGATGGTTAAATACTTTTTAGTATTTTTTAAGTAATACATCATTTAAAAAGTATATGTATGTAAATATAAAAAAAAGTGGCAATAAACCTATTTTATAACAAATATAATAAAATATATGTGAATAAACAATCAAAATACATTTTAATAATATATTTTTTATTTAAATTTATAAGTAAATATCATCAAAATATTATATTTTTTATATAAAACTGTATACAATAATTGATTTTTTTTAATAAAATTAACAAACTCTTACCAGGTGGTGGTTTTACGTAAGGAGAATTTTCAGCCATACGTATCTTCATATATTTTATACCCAAGATAACAACGACAATGAAAATGAGGAACGCTATAGACAGCGCTATCAGAAGTGGCCAGTACGATGCACCTAAAATAATAGGGATATTTTATAAAAAAAAATTAAAAAATTATTAAACATTTTAAATAATTACAATCAATATTTGTATAGAGTGTAAAACTCTCACTCAACGAATCCATACACTTGAAAAAATAATGTTTAATGGATTTTATATGACACTGTTTATAAAAAGATACTCTTTTGCATGTAATCTTTTTAATCGCGTCACAATATATACTGTGTTATATATATTACTTGTTCTTAAAATTTTTAATAATTATGTAAAAAAACAGTGATAACCACACAATAATCATTAGGAATAGAAATAAGCTTGTTACACCCAGATTTCGACTCCAAAAGGTGAATAAATCCTTCATGGGCCTGAGTATACGAATATACATATAATAAGATTCCACAAAATGTCCTAGATTTACCTGTTTAAAAATTTATAGATATAATTAAAAACATTTTACTTAGCAAAGCGTATTACGCTGTTCTAGAGTTTCTTGATGATGGAAATGTGTGGAATTCAGAAAGTTTGACTCACATGCGGATTATCTATAATGTTATGTTAATAAAATAAATGTAACTTCGATATATGAAAGAGCAACTGTTGAGTTTCTTGCCGGCTCTTCTCAGCAGAACTGCTTTCCAAGTCGGTGGTAGCTATCTCACGGACTGGCTATAAAGACGCTTAAATTAAATTGACGATTCAAAAGTGCTTGTAATATGTCTAATTGAATAAACTTTTACCAATTAACAGATCGTACCATCATGTATAATATCAGATTTCGAGGTCCTAACACACATTTTGCACTGCGCCACTTGATAGTCCTTGCCTAAACACGGAGTACTTGTTATGCACTTGCGTCGCCTTGTGTGTAGGCAATCGGAGTCACATCTAGACCACTCTGACCATTGAGACCAACGACCTAAGAAAATATTGCTGAATTACTATTAAATTTATGGATATATTAAGTTGCGAGTATAATAATTTCTTTAGGTTTTCTTCTTTCTTCTTCTTTTCAGGTTTTATATAAATATAATCTGGCAACTAGATTAAAACACTGAACAGTATCGAATACTTTTCGTTATTTACGTCTTTGACAATTAAATTGCCATTGAAAATGAAGAATGGAAAATAATATGTTTATAGAAAAATACTATATTATACATAATTTCGCATATTGAGTCAAAAACTACTTACATTATATTCTGAAGTGTTCAATACGTACCTAATACAATATCTAATGATTCATCGGCCAGCTCGTCTAAACTATCGACGTACACATCTGAAATATTAGCAACTGTTAAATATGTATAATCAAGACATGTGAAGTCCGCCAACCCGCACTTGGCCAGCGTGGTGGACTATGGCCTGATCCCTCTCGTATTGGAGGGAGGCCCGTGCCTAGTAGTGGGATATTAAAAAAGGGCTGAATAAAAATAAGTACCTTTAACCTATAACTGATGTAGATAAAAAATAATTTGAAATAACTTAGTCAAATAGTTTGAATTTCTTGCGATATCGATCTCCATGATCAAGTAAATTGGGGTTGGTTCCGTATCTAAAAGATCCGTCCATCGACGGAGACGAACGTCTTCTATCTAAACGGTTTTATTTTTGAACCGTAATAAATAGCTGGTTGAATTCCTTACTGGATATCTGTGTTATTACTTGACACAACTGTACAATATTATTAACTCCTAGATTATTTTTAATATCTAACAATTATGGTTGAACTATGGTTGAAATTACACAAGAAATAGTTTTTTGGCATATTCCCCAGCCAGCAATTGTGTTTCAAATTGTTACAGAAGTTTATGTTTTCTGTAAGACGCTTAAAAAAATCGGCCCCAAATTTCCCGCCCTAGGCTTAAGCCTACTCAGCCTGCTGGCAAATCCACCACTGTGCAAGGGTCCAACTCGCACGTGACATATTTTTAAACATACAATATATTGATTTGCAAATTAGTAATTGCATAGGTCCAATTATTTTCATTCTGATGCAGACACAACAAATTTAAATTATAAAACTAATATTTTAATCACAAATTCTCTGAAAATCCTTTACGTCTTTGACGATTATTATACAACAATGTCAAAGTTACAAAAAAAATCAGAAGAAGACAAGAACAAACGAAAATTTTTCAGTTCTAAGTACTTGAATTATAAAGGAATTCTCAATGTACTATTTTTTATTCATTGCTGTAACGTACCTTATATATTTTGACTGAAAAGGCTTAGAATCAAATTAAAAACTGTAACTGAACATATTTGTTAACATTTGACTGAATTTCCAATACTTTTGTTTAAGAAAACACATAAAATTGAAGGCTAAAGTTTCCGAGCTAGATATCTGGTCAGTGTACTCTAAAATGTGCATGAATAATAAACCAGCGTGCTTTTCTAAATATTACATGCGAGAACACGTCCTCCGTATACATCCTTTGTAACGACATAGAATGCGTTGGTCACATGATATTAATGTAAAATGTATGCGCAAAATTTTGGTAAGTTTTAAATTGCTTCCAACTAAAAAGCGACGTTTTAACTATCTTTAAATTTTATATTTGTAATTATGTATTTATTTAACTTATGATCGTTTAGAGTCTGAGAACAAAAAATGCAAATATATATGTACATACATATAATGCAGATCATAACAAAATAAAAAAATAATTCCTATATAAAAGATATAGACAAGAGAAATTGTAGAACTTTAATTGTTTAAAATTAAAGATTTTTACTTACAAATGATTTTCTAGACAGGTATTCGGTCTCTTATTTCTTGAGAGCTTTGTGACATACACTACAAAGCTCGTTGTAAAATCACAACAATCTTAATATCTCATAATAAAGCTCATAATTCAATTACTTTAAACAATACCAGCATCACTTACCCAAGTCACAATCTAAGCAATCTTGCGTTTTTTGGACGCTAGGTCCTATACATGGCTGGCCCCCATTCAACGGTCGAGGTGCAGTACAACTTCTAACTCGCCTTCTACCGTGTCCACTTCTATCACTTACTTGTCCTGCACAAAAACAGTCTCCCCACGCAGACCAAGCAGTCCAACCGCCGTTAACTGTTTTCAAATGAATTATATCATCCAATTATCGGTCGGTAATAACTCATTTTAATGAAAAGCAACGAGTGGGTAACAAAATATATGTAGATATTTATTACCCTTATACACAGGATATGGAATGAGAACGTTATGATAATTTACAACATAACTCTCTAGTTTCTGTCGGATTTTGGTTCAGAGTATGCATTTAGGCTGCAGTTTTAACTTAATTTTACTTTTCCAGATATTGTATATTATATTCAATACACCATCATGACATTTCTATATATAGTTTTTATTTCAATTAAAAATTACTACATACGTATTTATATTATTTAATCATTCGTTATGAGTACAGATGAGTCGTAGTGTGACACGTTGAGATTACCCATTTCCAATTTGATTTTTGTAGAATCACAAGTAAAGATAATAAATAAAGTTATCCTAAACACAAAAATAAAATACAAATTTCATAATATTTTCTTAGATTTACACGAATATTGCATAAGAGCAGCGTTCGTCTTGGGAAACCGTTTCTAGGCCTAGATGAAATTATAAAGTGTACGCCTAAAGAAATCCCACAGTTTATTAAAGCTGTAGGGCTTAGTGGGTTGCTCTAGTCTCATATGCGGCGATCACAATATACGAGAAATGATCGAAGTAATACTTATAGCTGCAACATAGAAATAAAAAAAACGATAATTAAAATACGCGAATTCTCGACATTTTATATAAACCTCTATAACGCTTTACAGCAGTCATGGCCACTGAAGAGATCATCAACAATCATGGTCTCTCCCGTGACCATAATTTCTGTAAATCATTCGAAACAGCGGGAACCAAAAATCAAAATCTATCCGCAAAAAAATCCGAAAAGATAGTTTTATTTAAAATCCAAATTCCAAAATTACAATTCATTATATTAAAACGTAAGAGTAACGTAAAAAGTTGATTCTTAAGGAGCAATCGTAAAAATTCGAATAAAAATAACTACAGTACACTTTGGTGCCTAGTGCGCTATAACATAAGGCATACACGAAAAATAAAGGGTAATTTAAACAAGCCATCCGAGTTCGTATAATAGAAATAAAGAATTCACAAAGGACGAATGGAAATGCAATATTAACTTACAAAACCGGCGGACTCACATCAACGTTGGCTTGAATACTAGTCGAGGGACCACACGACATAGTACTTGACACACGTATGTACATAATATATTAACTAATAAGATCAATCTTGGATTTAACTGTATGACATCTTAATGAGATTTTTTAAACGAAACTGAATAAGTTTTTTTGACGCGACGTTTCAAATGCTTTACAGCTAATACGATCACGAAACCGGCGACCACCATATAAACTGTAAACCATTCGGCTCGTAAGGAACAAATATAAACTTAATCTAATCCGAGAGCATTTCCTTTAAAATGTGAAATATTCGTGTAAATCTAAGGAAGTATAATAATGATTTTAATATTAATTAAATATTATATCAGTAACATTACCATTGATTTGAACGACAAATTGGACCCTTAGGTACAAAACTTATAAATGGCTCGAATAAACGATTACCTATCGTCCAGATTTTCTTATTTTTTTGGCACTAACCCGCAATATGTTTTGTAAATGACTCATTTTGATCCATGAATTTAGTCTCAAAAAATAGATATACCCATCCCTAACGTGAACATGACTTACACGATGACTAATAGAATCAACGATTATATTTATAGAAATTCTTTATTATTCTTCTCATATTCTTCTTATTTTGTATTATTCTTGTTATGCAATAAAGTATTTATCTATCTATAATATTTATTTATTCTAATTGTTTTTGTGGCTTTCATACGTGCTGTTTATATGTTACGCGTATAATATTAAAACAACGCATCAGCTGTGTGTAATTGCCAGATATCCCCTTTTGCCATCGAAATATTCTTGAACTTTACATATATTTTAATGTATATTTTAAACCCCACAGGCTGATATTTGATAGCTAGAAATGAGTTTTAACTTTAAGTAATTGAAGATGAACTAAAGTTATCAAAGTTTTGGACTTTCATTTCTCTTATTTTACATTTATGTTTTGATGAAATATATATTAAGATGTTATCAAAAATGGTTCAGTTTAAGAACCTATGACTTGTTTTATCTAAAACTTATTTATACTATGTATGTTATTGCTTATTACACCTCTAATGCACAAAAAGTTAGATGTTAGTTTGTACGAATTACTAGTTAGAATTGCTTCTAAATATTCATGTTAGGAATCTCGCCACTTCTGAAGTCTGGGCTTCTACTATGAAATTCTTCTGACGGGATAACCCTAAAACTCTCAAAACCAGCTTCCAAAACGGAAAACCAAGATTGCTTTATAACAAATACTTCTAATTGAAGTTTTCGCCATTACAAGTTTTAGGTATAACATGTCCAATTTTAAAATATTTACAGTGCTCTTATGCATCACCATTTAAACTTGATTGTTAATTTATAAACATCTAATACATATGTATGTATCTGTAAATAAAGTATTTTTACTTCTAAAATAATTATTTATATAATAAAATAATTTGTACTATATTCCACACTTCCCTTAACTCACCAAACACAGTAAGCAAAGCTGGCTCGGACATCCTCTTGCCAGCGAGATTCTCGGCGACGCAGGTGTAGTTCGCCATGTCCTGGAAATTAGGTTCTGTCTAGACTTTGTTTTTACGAGCTACGTATTTTGAATATTTAAAGCATTAGAATATTATGTTTTCAGGAAAGATATAATATGATAATTTATTTTTTAAGAGGAATTCTGAAATAAAAATACTTATAAAAAAATAATATAAGTACACATATATTTCTTAAATAAGTCTGCGAAGATCCTCAATAATTTCATTTGTTTTAACTGGCTCTGATACCTAGGCTATAGAATAGCAATACAATGCCTGCAACAGATTATTTTTTTATCAACCATACTGATGTTTTTCTCGTTCTAATTACGACGTACAAAAAAAACACTCTGGCGGAAAATGGAACACAATGCTCTTTGCATCATTATGGTTAAGAAAATACAAAAGAAAAGAAATGTAAATTAAAGTTAACCTATTTCTAGTATTCATTTTGGTTATCAAATCTCTGAATTAGTACATAGTATTTTACTTACCAGCAACGACGCTTGTTTGATGACCAAGTCACCTTCCTTAGATACTTGAACATTGTCGTCCACTGTAACTGGAGCTCCATTCTTTAGCCAGTATAGTTGTGCGAAGGGTGCAGCTTGAGGTGGTTCACATCTGAATGTCACCGGCGCGTATTGTTTGACTAACTGCGATTGTGGAGCCACTGAGAAATGCTTCTTTATATCTGGGTATATGAGACGTTTTGTTTTGCAAGTGGTTTGGTATTTTTTCTTAATATTATTTTTATGTATATATCTATCTGTAGTAATTGTTAGTCTTTTTATACTATTGCGTGTTAGATTATCGGTTAAAATATTGTTTTACACAGCTTGTACGCACATTTACATATTAGCTTAGCGGAACACCCTCACTCCGCTCGGGTTCGTCCCTAGGTACGTTTTAACGGTTAGTATAGAATGGATAAGCTATATCATATAACTGCTCCACTCCCTTAGGTGATATGGCATAGCATGATTATATATGGCCTATGGTCTTCCTCAATAAACGGGATATCTAATGCAAAAATAATTTTTCAAATCGAATTAGTAGCTCCTGAGATTAGCAACGTGCAAACAAACTTTTCCTCTTTAAAATATTAATATAAATATATAACAAACAAATAATATGACAAACAAATTTTAATTTGACATAAGAGAAAACTTTTACATAAGAGAAAATAACTTTAAATATTTATTTTTACGTATCCAAATAAGAAAATGTATAATGTTATAGAGAATTTTCTCGAACTGTAGAAATGATAATTAATGCAAATTTATTCTTTTTTTATACTAAAAATTCTTCGTTACAGGATTAAATGGAGTTTCGTTTTAATTGTATTAGCTTTGAGAAGCTGAAAGTCGCTACTAAATTAGATTAAAAACGTATTTAGTGTCAACTTACAAGCTAGCTCTATCGTCGCTGGCTGACTCCTTATCTGTCCCCGGCTTGTCCAAGCGAAACACGAACATTGATATTTGTCACTACCAAAGTATTCTTCTACTTGCTCTCTTGTTACTTTATATTCACCCTCGATAATCCGCACCCCGGTTTGCGGATCAACGAATTCGAAATTTAGCGCCTGTGTTTTGACACCGTTACATTTAAAGTATACCTATAAAAAATATTCTTAGTAGTAGTAGCATTGTAAAATTGGCTGTTTTTAAAAAGTTCTACGTTTAAAGTAATCATATTACAATTTATTAATTATAAAAAAGTTTCTCTATCTATTTTAAAGCGGTTTTGCAGTTCATAAACTAATAGCGATGATATTTACTGTGTCGGCAACTTTGATTTCTTTCAAATACTATCAGATATACCAACAATGTAATAATACAAAAATAAAGCTTAGGATTAGATCAGAATATTAATGTTTTGTTATATACATTATGCATGGATTTATTTATAATTAAATATCTTGTCCACCAAATTGTTATTGAATGAATAATTAACATATTTATAAGTAATACTAGCAGAACCCGCGGCTTTGCTCGCGCTAAAACTACAAAAAAAAACTAAAATGGTAGGTTTCATACAAACTTTCATCCGCTATTTTACCCTTATGTTATGAATTTCGAAAAATGCTTAAACTGTATTTAATTAATTGCATTGAAGAGCATTTATACCAAGTTTCAAGTAATTCTGATCGTAAATATTTTTTTGGATTGTATTATAAAGTGTTTTCCCGTGGGAAATGGATAATCTTCCGCGATAAATAGCCTATGTCACTCTCCAGTCCTCCAACTATCTCCACACAAAAAAATCACGCCAATCCGCCAAGTCGTTTCGAAGTGAAAGAAAGACAGACAGACAAACAAACAAACAAATAAACACACTTTCACATTTGCAATATTAGTACGGATTACTTCTTTATTTAGGCCTTATTCTTATTTGAAAAACACAATATTTAACGAATAAAATTATTCAAAATATTATTGACTTGACCAATTATTACTTACTTCTAAAGCATTTGCTGCGCGACATTTAAGTGTAGCTGGTTTATTTTTAACAACATAAGTATTTTCTGGTTCCAAAAGAAAAACCGGCAGGTTATCTTTAGTTGTGTGCAAAGGTATCTTATCATCTATCGGTATAACATCTTCGATATTACTTCTTGCTGTAACTACGTCCGGGGAATCTTTGTAATTTGTTTCTTTATTTTCATAATCATAATCTAAATACGAATGATCGTCTTCATCCTCCTCGTCCTCGTCGTCTATATCTTCGTTGCTTGGGAAAACCGCCGGTAAAAAATAATCTTTGCCTTCATTGTGATTCATTAACAAATCTAAAGGCCTTTTATCATCTTGATTTGTTTCTGTTAAGCTATCATCTGACCCTAAAATATATCAGCTTTTTATATCAATGTTTGGTATATTATTGTTTAGACAAAAAAGTATTGATAAGTAAATAATTAGAAAATAAGTCTTTAGAAAAAAAAGAGATTTACGTGTTTTAAAAAATATATATCGTGAGAGAGAAATATTTCATTAATGAATTTAAATATTACTAACAGCTATCTTTCTTGTTTAAAAGATTATTATCCTAGGACTTACTTTTTACAGGATCTTGGTCTCTCGTACTCGTTGCTAAATGAATTTGAATGATGAAGAAACAAGTCCAAAAATGCACTTCCATTTATATTCAAATTTTGTATCAAACAAATTAATAGACAGATACTTGTGTGGGTTTCATTTTGTTCCATAACTGACTTTACAAATTCACATTTTATATTATTCAAATAAATCACTTATGAATATCTTATTTTAGTTCCATACAAAACCATTTCTTTGACATGAAAATTAAAAAAAATCACTTTATAAAACCAAACTTTCCAAGTCGTAAGTTTAGACGTAAAAGTTGTAATAATACGAATGACATTAGAATAGGAGCTAACGCCACGACCGTTGGAATCCAACTGAATAGGGGTTGTAGGGTGAATGAAAACAAACTCTGGTAAAGTTTTGACGCATGCGTAGAGCGCAGCTTTAGAAACTAAGTTCGAGATGTAATGAATGTTGATGAATCGGTATTTAAAAGCTTTAGGGTCATTAGGGCGCGATTGACGTAATATATTATGCAGGTTTCTGCCTTGATTTAAGTACTCGCTAAATTTATATTTATATTTTACGATATAATTTTGTTATTTGTATTTAAAATATAGCAATTCAAAAAATGTATACTTTTTAACTTAAAAAAGCTAACAGTGATTTCACAATCACTTCGTAAATATATAGCTAGTAGCGGCTCAACCTCGCTTCGCTCGGGTTCGTCCCTAGTTACGTTTTAAATAGATATAAATACTTAGTTATTAGCCAGCGTTATGTATGTAAATTTAAATTTTATTTTTTGGATGTTTTATTAGTTATTTTACTATTCGGGGCGGAGACAAATCTAACAAATCAAAGATCATCAAAATCGGTCCAGCAGTTCTCGAATACCTCCAATTACAGAACGAAGGCCTCACGCACCGAATTCTTCAGATATACAAAAAATAGTAGGTAATAAAATGAAAGTTTAAGTGTAACAAAATATAGTTTATTTAATAATTTATAATTTCAATTATTAGGATTAACAAACGTTCCAGAAAATAATTGTTGTCCCTTGACTATAATGAAAAATAAGAATGGATGGTCAGCTCGGAAAGGGATTTTTTCCGCTTGAGTTAATCTCGATCCCACCACACCTGCAAATTTAGTAACATCATTTTTTTAAACAGTTACTAGTAAATTAATTGTCCGTGCCTTTATCACTACATATTATAAAACATAGTCCTCCGCCGCGTCTGTCTGTTCGCGATAAACTCAAAAACTACTGCACCGATTTTCATGCTGTTTTCCCCAATGGATAGAGTGGTTCTCGAGAAAGGTTTTAATATATAAATTTGTTAAGTTTTTGTATACATTGGCTAATTTGTTGGAGGTGTCGGAAAAAAATAAGCTGTCTAGGAGCTTTCAACGAAAACGCTGCCTAAGCCCTTTGAGATATAATAAAATAATGTATGGTGGATTTCTGTAGACCTATGTTGTTGTTGGGACACAGAAGACTGAGATTCACACATGATTTACTAGGGCGAATATTGCTTTCACACTAAATGGCTCTTTCTTTGAGAGGAAAGGCAAGTTTTCAAAAGAGCTTGTTCTCTTTTCTCCCAAAGAATCGGCATTGCCATTCAGCGGGGTCACAGCTAGCATTCTTGCAACAATTTGAAGTGTACAATGTACATGACTTGTATACTAATAATTAAGGTTTGTATATGTAATTAAATATATTTGAACGTACTCAGTATAGTGTGAGATTTTCTGCAAAAGAGGCTAATTAATAGTTAATTTTTCTTGCTCATTTACATTAATGATTTGCCATTTTTTAACAAGACAAACATAAAGTACTAGTACCTTTCTTCGTGCAATTTGTAGCTTAGGTGCTAGAGTATCGTTAAGAGATGAATTTCAAGAAATAAAAATATTGACAGTTGCTTTACAACATGTGTATAAAATTTTAATATATGTTCATATTTTCAATTTTATGTAGTTCAAATATTCATGAATGTGACACTCGTTACTTTAATGCCAAGAGCTCTCTTAATAGATTTTTGCAAACCATTCTTATATTTAGGACTACAAAATGGCAATGACAAAAATGTTTTATTGCTATTTCTAATGATCAATCTATGTGCAAAGAACAATAGAGTAAAACTAAAAACGTATATTCCTCAAATATCTTTGAATGCATAGTTTTGGAGTGCATATTTTACAGGCACACGAAAGATTATGTGGTAAACATATATGAACGTAAGATAATTTTGTTAGATTTTGCCTTACCCGATGATGCTCCAGCCTCAGTCCCATACTCGTGGACATCTATAAAAGCCTTATGTTTCGCCGTCGTCACGTACACTGTTTCGTCTCTCACTATTTTGGTTAATTGAGAATGGCTTTTCTCGAATATTTGTTTTACTCCCATCTAAAATAAATATTTGAAATATTAGTTCTTTTCTACTATCATTTGAACAAAATTTAATTCGGCACAAAAATAAGGAGATGAAAAGTGCATGTAAACAAATAGAATAAAGCTAAACTTGCACAAAAAGCTATTTATTATATTACTAGCGACTCACCCACGTTTCGCTCGGGTTCGTTCCTTGCTTCCCAATACAAACTTTCATCCCCGTTTTCACATCCTTAAGAGTTGATTTTCGGGATAAAAAGTATCCTATGACCTTCCCAGGGTCTCAAACTATCTTCTTACAAAATTCCATCTAAATCGGTTCAGTAGATCCAGAGATTACCCCCTACAACGTTACAAACTCACAAACTTTACCTCTTTATAATATTAGTATAGACAACTAATCGTATTACGTACGTACCTTGTGATACATTTCGTTCAGATTCAAATCCGATTCAATTTTAAATTTTGGTATCGTTAGTTCTGTCTTCATGGGGACCATGTTGTCCATAGCGTAGTCTAATATTTCAGGCGATAATCTCAACTGGTTCAATAAATATGGCAAACCGGTACGAGATGTGGGTAAGACTATAACGAATTCCGCTAAATACCCTTTATATGGAATTTTTATTATCTATGAAATATTAATAGTTATATTAGAAACATCTAACCACAGTGATTGATATAATTAAAAAATTAACAAATAATTTTTTTTATATTTAAAGAATGACGACATTTTATTATTACAAAATAAGGCAGTGGTAGCCCAGTGGTGACGCGCTCGCTTGGGAAACCGAGTGAAGCGAGTTCAAATCCCAGGTCTCGCACCTCTGATATTTTCATGTGCGAATCATTTCCAACATGATTACCACTTGTCTTAACGGTGAAGGAAAACATCGTGAGGAAACCTGCATGTCTGAGAGAACCTAGTAAGTTTTCAAAAAGACATGTGTAGTCCGCGAACCCACACTTGGCCAGCGTGATGTACTATGGCCTGATCCCCGTCGTATTGAAGGGAAGCCCGTGCCCTGCAGTGAGACGTTAAAAAGGGCTGAATACATTATTACAAAAAACACAAGTTTTACTTACTTCAGCTTTCAAACCTTTACTTTTAGTATAGTTATATTGCGATATGTGACTCATCATTGTCAAAACCTTTTTACTATTTGGACCATAAAATGTAACATTCTTAAATGTTTCAAATGCTTCATTCCATTTGCCCTATATTGTTGATACTCAATTAAATATGAAAAACTTTACCTAAAACTAAATTAAACCTCAGGATATAAAAAAGATGGCAACACACCAGCAATAAGCGTATTATGCTTAGATTCCCATCCTGTTAATTATAAGGGCTGAGAAATCTACAAAGAAATATTGGGACTACTTCCCAATATTTCTTCACAACACTCGACAAAGGAATATACATAAAACTTTCAAATATGAGGATTAAGATGAGACCAAATTGCTAAGAAATATTTTTCATGGAGATAAATCAAAAGCGTTCAACATATTACCAAACCCTACGCTGACACAGTTATCAATAAGCCTCTACAAACCGACCAGATATATAATTAACTAAATAAATAATACCACCATAAACCACCTCCTACTCTAAAACGAACTCCTTAGCCTACTGACTTTAATAAGCCATCTAAACTTTTTCATAATAAAACCCTATCGCAACTATTCTTAAAAATCCAATTTATATTGGTTGAATCGTCTAACAATATTCCTGAGTAACCGTCATTGTACATCAAACGAATAGACTGCGAAGCATTTCGCTAAATTGTACATAAGGTGCATTGTAAGTCTATGTGAGACAATCAAAAACTTAAGACAAAAGAAACTTATAAAAAACACTTTCAACACAATCATACGTCGTCTTGAAAATATAGACCAAAAATCGTTAATCACAAACCAAGAAAAAGTTCAGTTTCGATCAAAATTAAAAATCTGACCATCTGGTGGAATGTTATCTTTTATGGGTATGGTAGATAAGTAGACATGCAACAAAACAAGTAGCATTTAATACGGCAAGTAAAGATGTAAAACAATCTTTTTCTGAAGTAAATAATACCTCATCAGAAGCCTTTCTGAAGTCATTTACACTGATAAGAGCTACTAATTGCTCACATTATCTTGCCTGTGACTTGTAAATATTATGCCTAATGAAAAAAATATTATCTCAGTTTATAGAATCAAAACAAGAAAAAGGCTTTAGGGAAATAGGTATAATCGTACTTTTCACAATTACAATACGAATATTATCAGTAAATTTTATGTAAATTACAAAAGCAACAGTCATTGTTTCATAAATATGCCGTTTTAAATCTGCTGCAAAATTAAGCCCCAAGCTAGCTAGCAAACAGAATCACTCATGTGATGATGATGATGTTCTCCTAGCCGATTCCGGCCACGGCGGCCAATCTTATTGAGACTAGCCAACTGCGCAGGAGATATTATAGTGCACAAGTGTACGCGCAGACACAACGTGCACTCTCTATTCCTGTCACTCTCATATTCCGGTGGGACGACCACTCGACACGACCATTGAGAGTTAAGGCGCAGGACCGACGGCTTTACGTGTTCTCCTAGGCACGGGGATGAAACACCGCTAACTTCCCAACTCCAGGCTGTTACTGAGACTTACTATACAGAATGACTCAATAACTAAACTTGGCCCGACCCGGGACTCGAACCCAGGACCTCCGAGTGTGCAGTCGTACACGCTAGCCACTACACCACCGAGGCAGTTCAATCACTCATGTACCGAATGTTCGTCAGTCTAAAAATAAGAGCAGCTTAGTTATTAAAACAAAGTATTGTACAAACGTACCCTGTGTGGATATTGTCTAAATTTTTTTAGGGCTTAATATTGTAAATGTCAATGTTTGTAATAATGTTTTAATCTTTTTACTCACACGTAACCGTGTGCATTTCATGAATAATCATGGATCGATACATAGAATATTTTTATCACGTTTCATAAAGAGGTTTCTGAGATGCTTGAGATATGTAGATAGATTGATACTTTATTACAACAAACAAACACATAAGTAGAACAAAGAAATATATGTATATGAAAAAGATATGCATGCTACCTTATCGCTAGCGATCTCTTACCCTACTTGCTGCGCCAGCGCGCGGTCGTGGATTCGAGTCCCGCTGGGGGCATTCATTTGTGTGATGAGCACAAATGTTTGTACTCCAATAATAGGTGTTTATATTTATATATGTATGTATGTATTTAAAAGTTATATATGTGTAGTGTATCAACTATCTGGTATCCATAACACAAGCCACGTAGCTTACCATGGAACTAGATGGTGATGTGTGTTAATATCCCATCATATTTATATTTAGAGGGGGAATCAGTATATAAAATGGTAGGCGTCAGGCGATGTGTTTATATGTAAAGATTAAGAAAAAGGACAGTCTGGTCAAACTTAATAATTGTATACTTACACTAAAGTACACCGCGTTAATTAGTAGTAATGAAGTGGAAGGTAGTACGTCGGCAGAGCTTATAATATCTTTTATTACACCGTTTGTTTGAAGTGACACCTACAATATATATGCTAATATTATAATAAATATATTTAATAATATAATTAAAATATCTTTCTTTTTATTATTACTATTAACTACTTTCTTACTTCTTACTTATTCTTACCCAAGAATTAATTTGATGTGCGACAAATGTCGGAAATTCAAAGTTGATCTTTTTAACACTATAATCAAATATAGCTTTTGATTCATCATTAAATTTTCTATATAAGTGAGAATTAATTGGTACGTAAATTTTACTTGCAATATCCAACTTCCCGCCCGGAAGGTGACGCAAAAGAGTTATCATTGGTTTGAAAGCTCCACTTATCTGGAAACATTTTTTATACAATAGATAGTCATGAATCCATACTAATATTATTATAAATGTGAAAGAGTGTTTGTTTGTTTGTCCTTCTTTCACGTCGAAACGGCTTGGCGATTGTCTCTTTCCCACGAAAAAACACGTTATAATACAATCCAAAAAATATTTATGATCAGAATTACTTGACACTTGGTATTAATGCCCTTCAATACAATTAATTAAATATGTGTTTTAGCATTTTTCGAAATTCACCCCATAAGAATCAAATAGCGGATGTAAGTTTGTATGAAATCCATTTTAAGAGTTTTCTTTGTAGTTTTAGCGCGAGCGAAGCTGCGGTTTCTGCTAGTATTTTATAAATGTTCTAATATATTAGGTGTTAAAGCATTATCTAGATAGTATATCTATTAGCCATATTGGGAATTATAGTTCAACTATGCGAATATTTTTTTCATTTCCAACATTATGTATCGGCAAATGAGCTTAAACGAACATTTTATCGTGCTTTAAGTTTAAATTCAAAATATTCATATAATTAATAAAATTTCAATCAACTCATTCTAAATGCAATAACTTTTAGTTGCTAATTGGGCAGAAAAGATATTAAAACAAGATAAAGTTAGTTATCTAACCAAATATAAAATGAATATATTATATGCATTCACATTTCACACGAAAAAAGTGATTGTCAAAACGTTTGTACGGAAGATTCTTCCTTAGAAATATCGTCATTCGTCAAGTATGTTGGCCTAAAACATTTTTTGCTAGTCCGTAAAACTGAATTTTGGTTATATTCTCGATGAATAAAAATATGTAAATAATATTTTATTATTTACCATAGACTTTTTTGTTATTCCAATGGCACTAAGAAGTTCCTCTAGAGTAGACTCTTCAGCTCCTAGGGCCAATTTACCAAGTGGCATCATTACGGATAGCGGCGAACAGAGTGTGTTTTCATTTGGTGTCGACAAAGCACTGTCCTTTAATAGGAAACTTTATCTTTAATGTTTGAATAAACATTCATAATGTTTAGATGTATGTAAGTATGCTTAAATCAAATATTATTTATGTCCGAGAATTTATTAATATTATGTCCGAGAAGGACTTTAGAAAAAGAATACTTATTTAACTAAAAAAAAAAACAATTTAGCCCAATCCTCATCTCTCTCATCATATACAGGCGGAAGCGCTGACGGACAATATAAATAGATAAAAATAGTAACCTACCACAAAAAATGATTTTCGAAGAAGCCCACTAAAATCTATATTTTTTTGTATACTCCAATATTTAACATCATTGTCATACTTTTTATTTCGGGAAATTGGTTCTTGTTTCTGTTCCTTTCCTGATGTTACAGCTATGAATATGCACAACGTTAAAACTAAAAAATATATATTATAAAAAAATATTATTTTATTTAATAGGTACTGATAAATTATATGGTTTTTTTTCGAAAAATAATTATTTACATAAAGTTAACAGTTTCATATTATCATTTATCAATTCATGTTATTTTTAGTCACATTAATTACAGAATAACACTTGTGATAAAAAGAAGTAACAGAAATTAAAAACACATTCATTCGATAAATTTCAATTTCATGCTAATTAAAAATCACATAGTCTTGCCATAAATATTGTGTTGGGTCCCTAACAAAATTTCGAGATATTCCTTGCTTATATTCTTATATTCAGTACTTTTATAATCGTCAGTGAGATATATAATTTATATATATTATATTATAATCATAATTTTCAGTATTACAAGCAATTCGTGACTAGTCACTACATATTATATGGTGGTACCGACAATCGACATCTCTATTCTCTAATATCTAAGCAAAAGCGCGGGAAACAAATGAATATCCGCGCCCTTTTTTTATTTTTTTTTAAAACACATTCCTAACGACCAAGGTCACATAAGTAAATGCCTTAAACATAAATCATTACAAATTAATCAAATATATTATTTTCTATTAAAACACTAAATATATAAAAATGCAACCTTACAATTGATACAAAGAAAAAAACATTTTTTCTATTGCACGTAGGTACCATTTATTATTATTACAGTGTGTTAGTTTAATACATTAATATAAAAGTTAAAACAATTAAAAATATATAATATTCCGAGAGGTGGCGACGAATTTTGGAAAGGTCCTATTGGCAAGTTGAAATTGTAAAAAAATATAATTTCGTGAGTTAGCGAGTCCAGTCCCGCGAGTCTGGTATAGCTTTAGCGGTTATTTCGTTACTACGCACACATTTGCAAAAAAAAACATATTTTTGGCAACTTGATTTTTATTTAATCTTTTAATTTAGTTTTCATATAATTGAAAAAAAAGAACCCCAAACGTTTATTGTCGGTTATAAAGTTTTGCCAGACCTCTCCAAAGACGCTTTATTAAAATATAATATAAATGAAATTCAGTACAAATTATAATTTATCAAAATATCATAGAGTATTCGATAAGTAAGTATTCGATTTTTTTTTATATGAGGAAATGTTTTATAACTCAATCATAATTTGATGCAATCCTTAAAATAAACATAAAATAGGAAGACGGCGATATGATATATAATAATTTTTACCTAAAAGATACTCAAATATACATTCAAGAAAAAGATACAGATTATACAAGTAGAACGCTTGTATAATCTGTATCTTTTTGTTAATTTCTGTTGACATTGAGAATGACATTGACATTTAGTCAATTTGTTATTTAATCCGGTGTATTCGTATTGATCGATTTATACTTTATAGGTTTACCTTTAAAAAAGGTCCTTTTTGAAAGAAAACTTTTTTACTTGAATTGAAATAACGTATAAAACCTTAAAGGACTATATACTGCCTATTAAAACTTGACAATATGATACCTAATGAAATTTTTGCTGAAGATATGATGAGCACAGTGATACGATACGGTCTATACATTGGGGCTGCTTTCCAATTGATTTGCTTATTGGCATGTGTAACCCTAACCGATGACCAGAGCGAAATTCATCCATATGAAAAGGTAAACTTGTTTTACATAAATATACAGCACAAATGAGATATACCTTCGTATTTCTATACATTATAGTTACCTATGTAAAATTTCAGGCGTATACAGATAGTGATGAATGTAGTTCAGAACAATCCTCACCAGGACATCGTGCAACTATTTCGCGCGCCAGGCGTCATGATAAAAAGAAGCGGCGTTAGCTCAAACATAGATTACGTTAAAAAAAAGAAATAACATTGGATTTCTATTTAATCATTACATATTGAATTTCAATTTTTTGTGTGAGAAATTGGTTAAATATTACTTTTATCTATAAGTTTACCTTTATCCATGACTAAGAAGTAATGTTGAAAATATAGAACTTTAAGAGATAAAGTTAGATTATCTTTTAAATGTAATTATTTACAATAACAGTATAATGTTCTACTATTAGAATCTCATAATATCCATAGCATGTATCAATGATCTCAGTTTGTAATAATACTGAATACTTATAAATAAAACACATAATATTCAAAAAGCTTTTTATTTATTAAATGGACTAGAAATTACGGCATTTTATTATTGCTCACTTAAAATCTCATATAATCTGTATATATCTCATATAATTAAAACTGTACAAGCTTAATAATAAGACTAACAACATTTAAGGCACTAATTCCATTATTGTAATATCAATAATATGTAAATAATATAAATTTAGTTTGTTTTTTAAGTTGTAAAATTGTATATATAAAAAAAATATGGCACCATATTGGCTGATTTCTTTATAATTTGGCTTATAATAGAAGGCACTAATAAACTTTATAAAGAAATACTTTATAAAGTCTTGAAATATTGGTACACCATAACTTTCCACATAATTTTACGGTGGTCTGTACAAAAGTTGCCTTGCTTTCAGACAATTTGTATGGAAAGTGGGAATAATATTATACATACATGTATTACATATTAGAATACAAAAATTTCTAATGTGACACTTGTAACTATTAAATCAGTTGTGCAAGATATTTGTGTTGTTTTAGGATCTAATTAATATAGGTGCTTAGGTCATGTTTTGCAATGACTTGAGTTATAATGTTCAATGAAACTTCCACAAAATCATTGCAATACACAATAAATGTACCTTTATAAGTTAAAAAAAGGTTATATAATGTTACAAAGAGCCTAAAATGAAATTTGCAGATTTTTAGGTAAAATTTTGAGATATTAAATAATATATAATAAATCATTAGAATAGTACACAAATATAATTGTTGAGTTAAAGATCCAAATAGGTGAATTTGAGTAGTTGTATTATGTGTAGTTGTGTTTTTTTTTGTGGGAGTGTGCATTTTATACATCAGTAATATGGCCAAGCCCAGTTCACTTGGGAAACCAAATGCAATAGATTCCAATCCTAGATTTCACACCACTGATATTCTCATGTACAATCTTGCCTTACGTTGAAGGGAAATATCATGTGAATACCTGCATATCTAAAAGTCAAAAAATCTTTTAAGATATGAGAAGTCCACTAAATGAATTGGCCAATGTGGTGGGTTCTATGACCTCATTTTCATCATATTAAAGGGACGCCCATGCGCAACAGTGGGACATCAACAACAAACAGCCAAGGGCTGAATACTAATACAATAGTACATATACTGTGTAGGTCTTAGCTTTTATGTTTAGGTCTAGATAAAAAAATGATATAAACCTCCCATATTAATAACAAATAGTATTTGATCACTAATATTCTTGTAACTGTAAAATCATATATGTATTATTAATTTTATTTTTTAATTTTAACTCAATTCAATTTTCTTGTTAATGGCTTCAAAACGTACCAGTTGAGCACATATTACTTTTCCGATTTTTAACTTCTTTATTGGCAAATCCGTAGTTACGCGGATTTTGTTCACAATTTCATGGGTTTTAATTTTTTTGCGCGGAACCCTGATTCTTTTTCTAGCCCAATTTACTCCTTATAACATCATCAGTGAAACTTCCGTCAAAATCGATCCAGCCGCTTAGGAGATTAACCGTAACAAAAAGACAGACAGACAAAAATTTTAAAAATTGTTTTTTTCTTATTAGTACCATATATACTTTCATATGCATTTAGTAAAAAGCTGTTATTTTGACATTACAAACAGACACTTCAATTTTATTTATCTTTATAGATAATAATTGATATATGTTTAGCTGTAGCTACTGTCAAAGTAGCGTTACTTATATATTCTATATTATATTCATATATGCAATTTAGTCAACTTCACAAAATATAAAATCTGCTAATTTACATAAATTATTTCTACAACATAAAATATTTTAGTCTAATAATTAAATCTAAAAATGGCAAAATTAAGTAACAAATGTATAAAATAAATAAACCTTAAAGTTTGAGAACCAATATGAACATTATAATAGATTTTATTGTTTGTATGAAATTAAATGCAATAATTATATATTAATAAATAAGCAATAGTTATGTTGTTGTCAGATTCAAGTTATTTACATTAAGAGCATTTAATAGTTCAGTATCTGACAGAAATTGTTTGAACGCTTCAACTTTTTTAAAGCAAATTGTCACACAGCACGATTTCTTTGGAGAACCATCTTCCATTTTATTTGAATCACATTTACTTTTACTATCACAAGAGCATTTTAAATTATTAATAATTTCTGGGAAGTTATCATCACATTCGTGGGTGTAAACACCAAAATCTTCAAGATTTGAATCGTTATGCCTTTTATGGTAGTGTAAAAATGTGTTATGGTTTGTATCGGTCGCTTTTCCACATCCAACTGCACATTTCATTTGAGCGTGGTCGCATTTGCAGTCAATACACGAACACTTATCATCTGTACAGGTTTGTTTTTGATTGCAACTTCTACATTCACCATTGTTCGGGTCACATTTACAGCTGTTACAGGAGCAAATTCCTGCATCTGACGTTATTTGCTGTAATGAATTTTTGATTTTCTTTCCAAATATATTCTCCGTTTTAACAACATACATATTTGAAGGAGGTTCATTATCAAACAACAATGTGTCTTCAAGAGTCAAATCTGTGTTAAATAACACAGAGTTAGCTGGATTTATTTCGATATTATGTTGGATTTTAGGAGATGGTGTATTTAACGTTCTATCAATCTCATTAATTTCGTTGTTTTTCAAAAATTCTACATCTGTTAGCTTAGTTGTTATATTTGTAACTAGTTCACTGTCATTGAAAACTTTATCACTTACATCGAGTATGTTAGGCGTGTCTAGATCAAACGTCTCAGAAATAATATTAGCGGTAGGCATTTCTGAATTAAGATCTATATAGCTTTGCATGTGTGTCGGTACTGATGTTGCTAGAGTGAAAATACTTTCCGGTGTATTGTCTTTTATACTAACAGGTGTTTCTTGTATGGAAGACGCTAATGCTGTGACATCTATCCATGGTGCCTGCACTTCCACTTCATTCGCTAAAGCCAATTGTAATGCCTTAGATTTAATTTCAATTTTATTGCCAACATTCCACGTGCTTTGCTCCTTTTCATTTTTAACAATGAACGGCGAAAGCTCTAGATTGCTCAAATCATAATCAGGATTATCAAATTTAGTGTTATTTGTCGCGTTATCGAATAACAGTTCAGTAATATCCATGTTATTGTTAAGGTTGACACTCGCAATATCTTCTAGGCTGCCGTCTGTTGAATTAGATTCAGTTGTAATTTTTCCAAATGATTCGAGTAAACTATCCCAGTTCATGACGTTCGCATCAGGTTTTGTTGGTTCGTTTTCTGTGACTTCGACTTTTGGTGCTTCGGTATTAATCTGTGGAAACAAAAAAGTAATTATGAAAATAGCAACTATATTATTGTTATAAACACGAATGTTTTTGTGCGTGTACATATGTGTATTACTTCTTCACGCTGTAGTAACTGGACAGATTTGGATAAAATTTAATACGGAGATAGACTATACCCTGGAGTAACACTTAGACTACTGTTAGTAACAAACTTTGACTGTATATAATAAATACGCGCCCAAGCGAAGCGTGTATAAGCAGCTAGTCTATACATATAATAAAATTCTGAGTCGAATATATACATTAATTATTTTTTGGTAAACCTTGTTGAAATAGTCATTATTATCGATAGGCCGAATCTCTAGTTTTTAGAATTTTTGTCTATCTGTCTGTGAACGCATCACGAAAAAACCACTGGACAGATTTTGATGCAATTTCGTATGACGGTAGTTGATTATCCAGGTCAACATATAGGATACTTTTTACTGCGGGAAAATTTTTCATTTCTGTGAAATCTTTACTAAAAAAAAACGTAGAATACGGACGAATCCGATCAGAGCGACAGTGAGTCGCTAGTAAATTATAAAAATTAAAAATCCCTACTGCGTAAAACACGAACTATAAACAAAGAAATAAATTTTCGAAGGAAAACAGTACTATGCAGTTTGAGACATAGGTACCTAGATGTTTTATCATTCATATTCATTCATTATATTACTACGTAATTTTTAGAAATAGTAATATTAACTATAACATGCCATTTGTTTTAACTGAAATAATTCAAATGACAACAAAACAAATACATATAAACAAAATTGCAAAGTAGTGACTTCTTTTCAATTAAACCCGATAAAAAGCCATTGACTCACCTGATGTTTCCTTGCGTGTGCCTTCATACTGGTAACGGTAGAGAACAGCTTCCCGCAGCCGAGCTCGGGACACGCGTGAGGCCGCGAGCCCGAGTGCGTGCGCGCGTGCGCCTTGAGATGATGCGACGCTGTGAACGACTTGCCACATCCATCTGTTACGCATCTGTATTAAAATAAAAATCACCTACTTTTTTTTTGATTCGTGGGGAAACCCTTTACGGGTGCCCGTGCGCGGGGTATGTGGGACTCCTGTCGCGAGAAGCGCGACAGACTACACACTAAAACCACCACAGTGATCCTGATCGCAAGAGACAGGGCCACGGGATCGCTTGCGCATTCGACGGCGACCCTGTCAGCGTCGCTTGATGTCGAGCTCTCCTAACCAAATTTAGACTCCCCCCGAATTGTTCCACTACTGCCAAAAGAATCAACAGGATGATGTGCCGGGATCACTTTCAGCTGCACATCATCCTGCCCCAGGGAACCGATAGACGTCCTGCCCGAACGTTGGCTTGGATCAGCTAGTAATAAAAATAAAAAATCTTAGAATTGAACTGCCGCGCCACCTACCGGGTTCAGTTGTGAATCTAAGCCATCGAGGGAACCTCTTAAACACACACGAAAAATTTCATCAAAATCTATCCAGCCGTTTAGGAGGAGTTCGCTGATATACACACGTACAGAAGAATTATCTTGAAAGTAATTCAAGGGTCTCTATATGTTCCTTGAAGACCATATAATATATAATAGGTGGATTCCTGATGATTAATGATATATAGACAGTACAGGTATTAGATAGCTTAGAGAAAAATAACACATGATAAAGAACAGATATACTTGATGTTTTATTACAACAAAAAAAAATATTTCGTAACCTTCCTCCTTCTTGGCTATATTGGAAGACCAACATCACTTAGAACGGTTATGGCCTATGCAAACGATGACTTCCTATTCTATTTCATGTTCATATAATATTTTGTAATGATTTATTTTAGTTTTCTAAACTATTAATAATAATTTAATATTGCCGTGTGAATTTATCGAGTTCATTACAAAAAGGTTCTATAGAAACAAAATTCCACAAACCTATTACAGGAATGTTAGGAACTAGTATATTTGGTCTAACAGCAGATTTTTAATTAAAATAAAATTGAATGAATTTATTAAAAAAAATATTTATTGGCACATAATAAAAAAAACTTTATAATGATTGAATAAACTTAACTTCCTTCACTAAGATAACTGAAGAAGACATTTGATTCATTCAATAATCAGTGCGGGGGACTGTATTAAAGTTTCTAAATTAAACTCCAATGGCTTGATTCTTCCTTCGTTTTTCTTGCTTGTTACCTCTACGGCTACGCTATGGCTACCCGACGAATGGTACAGAATGAACAAAACCTCGTGATTTTTATTTCTAATTTACAATTTTATTAGGTACACTACTGTGCGTCTAACATCTAATCGGATTTTACAATAAAGGGGCGTGACTAAGGTCTAATTGGCGGGTGCTTAATTCTAATAGGCGGCTAAAATATATACGCGTGCGTGTCTATGAGATCCAACCGTTGCGTAGACTTGTCTTCTGTAATAATCAGGTTTTATTACATATTTACTTTATACAGTCAGCATAAAATGATACTGCAAGAATTTATATTGAGAAGACGTCAAATATTTGACATAATAATAAGAATCAAAATGGTACTTACTTGTAAGAAGAAAAAAACTGGTAAAATATGATAGGTTACCTATCAATTTTGTAAAAAACATTTTTTTATAGATTTTACTTTTGCCTGTTTTATTTATTTTTCATTTTCTGTTTAGTTATATTAAAAAAAAAAAACCTGTCTATGATGTCAATAAAATGCTTCTCGCGACTCCCCGTTTCTAGAGTAAAAATGAGAATCCAACTTACTTATAAGGCCTTTCTTGTGTGTGTGTTCGTATGTGTTTTTTCAGATCGCTTAGTGTTGTAAAGAATTTCGAGCAGCCGTCTGCTTTGCAATTGAATGTGTCGCCGCTGTGTAGTCTTTGGTGTGCTTTGAGTCTGAAATCCAAATTTCACCTGTTGAGTCCAAAATGTAACCAAAAATCTTAAGATAAAATCTATTTTTTATTGTCCATTTTAGAATTTAATGACTATTTTAGAATTTATTGACCATTTTAGAATTTATTATCCATTTAAGAATTTATTGACAATTTTAGAATGAATTAACCATTTTAGAATTTATTGATCATTTTAGAATTTATTGACTAATTTAGAATTTAATGTCGTTAGTACTTAAGGTCTCCTGTAACACGTTTCACAAAGTTCTAGGCTAGAGGTCATAAGTTCGATTCCCTGTTATGCTGCATTGAGTATTGTTAATGCGTTCTTATCAGAGCCGGATTATCCATAAGGCAGTTTAGGCGACTGCCTAGGGGCCCCGTATCGGCTAGGGCCTTCACGTATCGAGATTTTTTTTTGAAATATCTAAAAATTTCTATGAAATCTACCTAATAGCTTAATTACGAATATAATTGAATTGTGATAAAAAAATGTTCTATCAATAAGTTAGAAAAAGATGAAGGGGCCCCGAGAATTGCGTTGCCTAGGGGCTCTCGACATGGTTAATTCGGCCCGAGTTCTTATTATATTCTATCTAGTTTTAATTATATAAAAATATTTGTGATGCTATCATCCATCTGTTAAATATAATATTTTAACTAATATAAACACATAAACGTTGTAGTTATTAATTATTTGTCTGAGATGTGACATTATTTATTGTTTCACATTTGGCAGTCCACATGTTTTTCACATGTCATGTACATGATTGGACAATTTCTTTTGCCAATATCATAAATCTTATTTTTATAGTTAGTTATTTTACGTCAAAATGAAGTATCTACTTGACATAAAATAATTTATCATTGATTGCATAATATGTGCTTAGTAACACTTGACTTACACAAGGTCGAAAAATCGAACCTGCGATCCCAATGTCTGTGGCAACAATGAACCACGAATGAATCTCAAAATAACTCGTATTATATAAAAAAATATTTTTAGAAGCCAAAAATAGCTACAAAATCAATTTCAAATGATATAATCGAATAATTTTAAAATTTAGTTTGGAAAATTTTCACATTATGGCGTCATGGTTATTTGAGAATAAACCTTATTACTCATCAAATAGAAATCTAAATCGCATGTCATACAGCAACCGAAACAAATATGTATTGCTATGGAGAGCATAGATTGGCATTTTTCCAAATGCATATAAATCATGGGAGTTACTTAAGCGCGTTTAAAAATTTTGATTTTTAGAAACAATTCAGTATTAATGTATTACGTAATAAACGTATGAATGAAAAAAGCGAGCAACTGCCTTTGATTATTATAAACGTGACTCAATGTGTGGGCGAGAGGTTCTAAATATAATACGTAAACAACTCGAAAGGTTAGTATCGATTTTTTAGTTTAGTTTACAATATACTTTTACAATATTGATGGTGAAATTAAAAATATAAGTCGACTAGCGATTCACCCTTGCTCTGCTCGCGTTCGTCAAATTGTACGTTCTTTTAGTATACATTTCTCAGAAATGAGATATTTTTCCGCAGTAAAAAGTATCCTATATGTTGATCCGGGTAACCAGCTATCATCATACCAAATTTCATCAAAATCTGTCCAATGGTTTTCTCGTGATGCGTTCCGAGATAGACAGACAGACAAAAATTCTAAAAACTAGAATTCATGACAATTTCAATAAGATTAGACTTAATTAGAATTTTATTATATGTATAGATTTATTTTTCCTATCAATTACTACAAAATCTTCTGCTTCTAAAAGAATGCATGGTACTTACCAATATAATTAATGAAAGTAACTTTTTCTGTATGTTTGTTACATTTTCACGCTTAAACCGAAGAACTGATTTCGATGAAATTTGGCAAGGATTAGATCATTACTCATTAAGACGACACATTAGCTATATTTTATTAATATATTATATTTATATTTTAACTTACTTTTTTATTTACTTCATTATTTTACTTTAATGTGCTATTTACACTGTATTTTAACAATAAATATGCTTTAAGTTTCTTAGAACAAAAGCAATGCTTAAAAACAAAACAGAAAAAATTGTGATAAATCTTTCTTAAAACATTTCTTAGCCAAATGTTGGCGGATTAGTCATCTTTTTAAAATTATAAACCTAATTGATTAATTTCAAAGGGACGTTCATAAAGTAAATAAACTTAGATATTCAATGCCAATGTGTCATAATATCCAAATAACTATTTTAGTAATGTTTATTTGTATTCAGCCCTTTTTAACATCCCGATCAACACTGCTGGGCATAGGTCTTCGTTCAATATTTAGATGGATGTTTGTTATTCAATCACGCCAGAACAGCTGAATGGATCTGATTAAAATTTGGTACAAAGATAGATTATAGTTTGGAATAGTACATAGGCTACTTTTTATCCCGGAAAAATGTATGGTTCCCGTGGGATAGATTTATTTCTGAAAAATTCAATTGATACAGACGAATTAAAACCAGTTATATTCATAGCCTAGCATTGCCCGCGGCTCCACCCGCGTACAGATGACCAAAAACCAAATTCTTAGGTTTTATTATTACATATAAGTATACTCTTACATTACAGTTTTTGTATTTTTTCTCAAAAATGAGACTTTTCCCGTGGTAAAAAGTATCCTATCGTAAGTATCATGAGTATATATATATATCTTTCTCACGTTAAAACATAACACTACAGCTATATCCGGCTTACTATAGATTTGTGCACACTAAAATTACAAATGTAAAAGTTTGTTAGAATGGATGGGTGGATGTTTGTTACTCTTTCACGCCAGAATGGGTAACGGATGTGAATGAAATTTGGCACAGAGATAGTTATAGTCTGGTATAGCATATATGTTACTTTTTATTTCAGAAAAATGTTCGGTTCCCGTGGGATACTCATATGTTTTTTTTATTTGTCTGGGGAGGAAGAGTCCCTAGTAATAGATAATTTTATATTGCCTAAAATAGACAATCAAATTAAGCTAAACAGTTTCTGCGAGAAACTGTTTTCGCACAAATTATTAAATTTAACAAATGAACTAGAGTCCAGAACGCTGAGAGGAAAACTGGGGGTGAAGAAAATGTTCTGGAGTTTTTTAATGATTATTATTTATTTGCGCAATGTAGATTTTGAATGAACGTCACGTGCATTTGGGAAACAAGCATTGAGGATGTGTGGATAAGATTCTAATATAATGGCAAAGTTTGTGATAGTAGAAAAGTGACGGTGATACCTCATCAAAAATTTCACGCAACTCCACAAGCAGCTCCAAACTACAAAAGAGCTCACATTTTTCGGAAATTCAAGGAGTTCTAGGTAGTCTTGGAGTGTGACACGAACTACTCGTCATTGGATAGTCAAATAGAATAAGCTAGTACTGATGCAGAGACGTAAGCAATACTCTGGGAAATAAGGAACTTGACCTTTATAAAGTAAGTCAGTGCCTTGGCGTAAAATATCGCTTCGCTCTATTGAGCAGTCTTAATTTTTTGAGTCATATTGGCTTTATTTAAGGTGACATGATTTTTCGGTCTCTATATATATAATTTTAGATGTTAAGGAGAGCTTTTTTGACTTTTAGTGCTAAAATTGTTTATTTTCTTTTAATTTGAACACTGGACGAGGTTTCGAGGACCTCGATCTGCTTCAAACTCTCTATTTTAGACACAAGTTGGACTATTCTCCTCAAGTTGAGCCGAGACAGACCAGTTCATTCAGTCCTTAAAACTTTATTGAATATACCAAAAAGTGAAATAGTTGAATTATTTTATTCAAAAGGTCTAATCTTAATAATTACCTTAGTATAATTGAAAAATAAACCTATTAATCAAACTTACCTGTATAATGTATTGAATGCTCTGTTACAGTTCCCGATATTGCATGTGAATGGTTTTACTTTTGTGTGTGCCCGCACATGTATTTTTAGACTGTATGATGTGAGAAATGCTTTGTTACAACTTTGCATTGGACATATAAACCTGTATTCACCTGAAATATGAATAATTACACTTAAATGTCATGGTCAATGTACATACACCTTTAATTAGAGCAAGATGATTTTACTTGGACTTAAGTCCATGTGAATGTGAATGAAGCACTTGATGTTAAATAAATGTTTAAGTTAGAAAAGTTGATTTGAAACATTTGAAAAATAGGGTGTAAGGATACTATGTATTTATTTTGCTGATTGTATGTGACATGGATCCTATTTTCAGAATCTGTAGTGTGGACCAAGACTGTAAAAATTTTATGTTGGGTGAGAAATTTGACTTTTTATAGTTATAGCGTATAAAGAAAGGTATGAAGAAACAATAGATACTTCTGTATGTAACTTAACACCTTAATATATTATGAGCACGCTATTTTCTTATCATTCACATACTGCGCTTGCTTGAATGTAGTTGAACTCCGATAAATTTTTATGTTCATTTTCAATTCATGAGGTGAATTGCTGTATATTTCTAAGTTAAAAAACTGAGATTTTACATGTGCTATTAAAAGTTATTAAGTTAAAATACATTTAAGTGTTTTTGAATTTAAAAAAAGTGTATGTTATAGCTTTTCAATAAAACTTTATAAAAAAGTAAAATAATAAACCTACCAGTTTATTTAATTTACTATATTTTTAAATGTAATATTATATAAATGAATTTAAGTATTTCTTAATGATAATTCACATGTAGTTTCAATTCATTACATAAATTTCATATAACTTTTGGAGTATGTACAACTTGTATGGGATAGGATTTTTAGTCACCTATTACACCGAAGGTCAATATATATTTGATAAATTTCTTAAATTTGCTAAGCATATTTGGCAAATTGTACAGTTTGGAATGCAGCTAAACATATTTAAGACCAATCAAGAATAGGAATTTTTGTGCAAGTGGCATTTACCATTATTTCCTTAAAATATTAATATAAAATAATTTAACTTTTCTCATAATATAAAACAACAAATAATAATTATGTTACCTTTATGTGTCTTCATATGGGTTCGTAAATTGCCCACAGTGCTGTATGTTCTTTCACAGCCCTCGTATTCACACTTATATCTTGCACTGTTATCCTCCACTTTTCTTTTGTTCTTATCCATGACCAATTTTGGTAGTTCAACAGTTGCTTGTGGCACATCAGACAATCTCTCATTATTACTTCTAAAATAATGAACATATGATTTTATTTTTAGTTTTGATTCGACTAACAGTTTATTAATTTAAAGAGGTTTTTATGCAATGTGCAACAATAGGTTGCTAAGATAAGGTATGAGCTTTTTTATCAGTACTGGATTTTCCATGCAACATTAATAAAACCTAATACTATTAATAATTAAAAAAATATCTTATTATCTATTATTATATTAAATTTGTATTAATTATTTAATATATATTTGTAAATGAATATGTAAAGCTTTATAATTTTAAAATGTGTTACATGATGTTAGGCAAATTCTCACTCATAAACAAAGTAGGCAAGTTGCTGTTTTTATGTGAGATTAAAGATATTAGTTACCTTCTAATCATTACTTAAAAATGTATCCAAGTCATTAGAGAACACAAAATTAGGATATTCAAGCCGCATCGTGATGGTAATGTACCAAAATAGAATGCCCAAAAATGAAATTGTGGGATAAGGACCACAAATATAACATTTCATATGTATGAAAGAGAAATATGATTGTGTTGACAAACAGCTGATCGCTCAACGATCGGGGAAATATTGTTTGTTTAGAGAAAGGGCATTGTATTACATCAAAAGATAATATTAACACATACGTACTGATTGTAATTAAACTTACGATACTATTTCAATTCTAGAATCTGTTGTTTTGTCCTTGGGAACTACTTTAATCTCCGACGTCACACTATCTAAGAGTTTTATGTCGCAAGTGATCTGAGGAAAATCTCTAGAAAGTATGTCAGATGATCCACATTTTATATTACAATTTAAATTAAAATTATCACCTAGCAAACTATCTAAATCGTTTTGTGTATCAATTTTTGAAAAGCCGCTGTCACCGAGCCAAACGGCCATGTTGCTTCGTTGACCAAAGACTACTCTAGTCTCTAGTCTTTGTTTCAATTTTCAAATTGAAAGCTGTCATTTTATCAATCGGTAAACGTCAAAAACCGATATCAGTAACGTCAACGTCACAGTTGAATAGATGGCGCCAATTTTAAATTTCTTGTAAGAGAGATTGGTTGCCGCGGAAACAAAGTAGGCGCCCGCGCCCGCACTTAGAACTCCCGGCCGAACTCCCGTTATAATGTACACCACTTGTTGTCTGCGCGGGCAGTGCGCCGACCGCACGCCCTTCTGCTAACGCGAATGTATCATTTTCACATTTGGACAAAATTTTGCATATAAAAGTGTGTCGAGATAATAAATTCTTGCTATAGGTTATATTTAGCGTAATTATAACTATTTAATTGACAAAATGTGTTTAAAAAGTATATTAATTTATATTTATTTGGTAAGTATTTTTATACATATAGATACTTATAAAACTATTTAAAAAATATTATTAGAAGAATGTTAGAAGATTATATTATACATTTTTATATTTTTATAAATACATAATATGTATAATTTATTTTTTATTTTGATGAACTTTCTGGTAATCCTTATAATATAGACGGCACACGCAGCAGTCAGCTGAAAAATAATTGAAAAAAATTAATACTACTTTTTCATATTGTATTCGCATTGTAATACATAAAAATATACAAAAGAGTACACTTATGTTTTATCCAATACAAAAAGGCATAGTAAGATATCAGATCACGATCAAATAGTAAGATATCAGATAAAAAACCCTTTAGTTTAATAATTAGGTTTAATTAGATTTAAAAGGGTTGTCATTTGTAAAAATATCTAATTAAATTTAATAATATATATTAGGATTTTGCAAAAAGTAGATATCTAGTTAAACGCATAAGTAGAATAATCAAAAGTTAATAGAAATTTTATATAGGTATCCATTTTATATTTTTAATAACAAATATTATATTACAGGCTTGGACTATCTAGGCTTGTTTATATCCGCATTTTATTTATTAATAATTTAAGAATTTGTATAAAATTTTAACTAAATATCTGGCTAGCTTATACTACATGGTTGACTGACTCATTGACTATGCATTTGGAGCGAACCGTTCAGGGAGATAGGAAAAAAGGTATCAAACTGCGGGTAAAGTTATCATCAGTTTACATTTTACTGTTATACGCACGTTCTTCTCTGTCTAAGCGCATTAACGTGTCATTAGTCAAAGGTTGCTGACCGAGAACATGTACTACAACTTGCCAATCATGAAGTCTCGGAAATATCCTGCAAAAAGTCAACTTAAAATGATGTTCTCATTTCGCGGCTGTTTTTACCGGTAACACATATATACATATTAACCGTGCCAAATATATTAGTTAATACTGACTCGTCCAGACTATGTTTTTTAGATATACCAATAATACTAATTCAAAAATTATTAGTAGCAGAGTTAATAATTAACATATTTAACAATTTAGTGCTTTAAAATCTCTAATTTGCATCGGAAAATACAAAATTTTGTTTGGGCGCAAGTCGCTGATTATGATCTACACATAGTATATATAAAACGAAGTCATTGTCTGCTTCTGTCTGTTTCTTCATAAACTTCTTTTGAACCACTCAACGGATTTTAATACAGTTTCACTAATAGAAAGAACGACAAACGAGGAAGGTTGTATACAATAATTTGTAAATATCTATTCTTGTATTCTAATATTATAAAGAGAAAAAAAATTGTTTTTTTGTTTGTTTGTATCGATTCGGCTCCGAAACTACCGAACCCATTTAGATGAAATTTGGTAAGATAGTTTGAGACCCTGCAAAGGACATAGGGTAGTTTTTATCACGGAAATCATCCCTAAAGGGGGTGAAAATAGGGGTAAAAGTTTGCATGGGGAAGCAACCTTTTGTACAAAAAAATGGCTGAACCTAGACGGTATTTGTTAAAAAAAATGTTTTCATTTGATTATATGGCTTACGCTTTAGAGATACATTAAAACAATGTACTAAAAATTGTAGACCTTAAAAAGGGCGACATGAATTGTCTGCGATAGCATGTGTCTATCTCCTAAGGTACGCTTACAATTACTAGCCCGAACGAAGTGTGAGTAAGTCACTAGTATATTGCGAATAGGTGTTCTTAATCCAAATCTTAATTAATTTTAGTCAACAAATAAGTTCAAGTATGATGACAGATATAAAGCAGTAATTTTTATTTTATTATTGCCAATTTAGCAATTTAAACTGATTTCGTTTTTATTTTCCATTATTTCAAGAATAATTAACATACTAGAAATAACGTCCTTGTAGGTGTAGTCAGATAATATATTAAGAGATATTAACCATTAAAGCTTTCATTATACTAAAATTAATTTTATGTATGTACCTATATATATATATAAAGTATATTAAATTATGTTTATCTAAAATCTTTAAGTAGGCATTATAATCATTTAATATTTCCTTATATTAAACAATTTCCTATAGTAAAATACCGTTATTCTGACGTAGAATCATCTCTTATTTATATACTTTGGAATTTGAGGACCAAAAAATGTTACCCACGACGTGCTATACATACAATGGACTTCAGAGACCGCTAGGCACTTTCGCTGCTTTTTCTTCATACTATTTTCACTTTTGTATATATAACTATTACTCTACTCAGTAGAGACTTTTGTACAGGAATAATAATGAGATTGTAATCCTCTTGTCAATTCATTGCATAACTTATTTCTCCTATTGTTGACAGGATATTACATAGTAACTCATTGTTTATGTATAATACATACAGCTATTTTATATATAATGAAAGTGACGAAGAATGAAGTTTTTATTTTATTGAATATTTTAATTAACTTGAAGCAACCCAATAAATAATAAATAAAAACATACTTTTACACTAAAGAACAAACAAGAAAATGTAATAATAAAACAATAATAACATTCCCGCAAAGAATTTAACTTACATTAGATTTAAATATATAATAAAGTTGAATAGATTTAGAAAGTAAAACAATAGGAGTAGCTTATAGTGATGTCGTAAAATACAAGATTGAATTGAATACACTTGACACCCATCTGAGTTTCTAGCAGTTCAATGACATGTCACATACACTTGACCCAGAAACCGACACTGGCACTTTCTTCTTGAGGGCTTTTTACGATTCATTGCGCATCACTACATATTTATTTTCTTTCCGCATAATACAATAACATAAATAATATTTTTAATCAAATTAAAAAGTTTAGTCAATCTACAAAAATCTAAAAATAAATAAGCAAACATAAATAATAATTACATAAAGGTCAGGTAAAAAATAAAATCAAATTATTAATAAATGAAAATTTTTACTTGGCTTAACACAATTCGTATACAATTCAAAAAGCAATCAATTTATAGTGATAACTAGTTTCAAAAGCCTTTTATCTTTTTTTATATCTGAAGCTATTTGATGATTTTATCCAGTATCTAACCTAATAACCTACCCAACGCTAGTATGAAATTTTTGCTATCACTGCTATCACTTTAATTAGGGAAGAGTTGAACCGGTTTGATAGTGTAAGAAAGGACAGGTATTGTTTGGACCGTGGAACCGTAGACAGAACTGTGTTATTGGGCCACGACATACATACCGTCCTGACTTGTTCACGATCGCTTTTTGCGTGACTATCGATGGTTTATCGTTTTGATTGCTAGCCTATTAAAACTAGAAAATACTAGGTCTTACCACCTAACCAATAAAATCTTTTATTAAGCTTCTTAGATATAAAGAAAATAGTTATTCAAAATGCTCAAAAATGGTCAGATTAATAAACTTTAAAAAATGTACCAAGAAAGTGATATGTTACATTTCACTTATCAAGTTATCATATAACAGTATCTTTGCATTGGTATTTTGTTTCGCATACTAGCATAATACGATACACTAGCAGACGTCCGCGTTGAATCTTCCAAAAAAACTCTTTGGCTTTACGTTATAGAGCGACTCACCCTCGCTTCGCTCGGGTTCGTCGCTATGTATCTATGTCATATATAATGTATAGCCTAGGTATATAAAGCCTACCTCAATAAATCTATAAATATAATAAAATTATAATTGAGTCAAATCTGTACATTATTTTTTTTTTGAAAAATCTTATAGAAATAGACATTATTATCGATACAGAGGCCGATTCTATAGTTTTTAGAATTTTTGTCTGTCTGTCTGGCTATCTGTATGTCTATCTGTCTGTCTGTCTATCTGTCTTTCTGTTACCGCATCACAGAAAAACTACTTCAGAGATTTTGATGAAATTTGGTATGGTCCTAGTTGGTTATCCGGGTCAACATATAGGATACTTTTTACCGCGGGAAAATATCTCAGTTCTGAGAAAAAATGCAAAAACTGCAATGTAAGAGTATATTAATATGTAAAGCCTAAGAATTTGGTTTTTAGCCATCTGAACGCGGGCGGAGCCGCGGGCAATGCTAGTTTCTGATAAAGTTATTGATATTTAATAATAGCTTGTATCCTATTTATATTGCTAATGATAGTAAAATTGACATACGATTGTTTTAATCTAGAATTAATTCAGAACAATTAATTCTAGTAGTACAGAAGTACCGTCAAATCTTAAGTCTTTTTATCTTTCTATACAAGATACTCCAAAATCGGTCCTGCCTTTCATAGATTCTAATCAGGCTTTGAGTTCGCTCGTGAAGTTATAATACAAAGCAAAATATTATAAACGGGTTTTTATGTTAAAAAGTTACGGTATTTTGGAAAAAAGATAAAACCACTTTAATGTTTTCTATGGTAAAATTTTATTTTTACTTTCTATGTTTTGAGTCATCGTACTGCGTGACTCATGTATTATAATGGGGGATATAAGTCTTGATTCCAAGTAAATCATGTGTGTAGAGGATTCAAATGATATTTAAATTACAAATAATCAATGAAATACATAGGTACTAATATTAGAAATGTGAAAGTGTTTGTTTTTTTGTTTGTTTGTTTGTCCTTCTTTCACATCGAAACGGAGTGACGTGATTTCTTGTGTAAATATAGTTGGAGGGCTGGAAAGTGACATAGGCTACTTTTTACCGCGGTAAATTATTTAATTCCCATTTCCCATAACACATTATAATACAATCTTTCGGTTCTTGATTAAAGTTCATCTCTACACCGTAAAAGTCCCAGTATTTCTCCAGGAAGAATATGATATATTTAAAATTCTACTAGCACTCATAGGTGCTGACTGCTGAGCCTTGACGGTATAAGTAAATCGAGTAGGCGAAAGCACTGGTTGAGTGCTTGGTAACTAGTTTGCTGCGCTAACGAAGTTATATATAAAGTAAAAACAATGTATGACAGGAGCATAGACCTTTATTGGTTTAAAAAAAAAGTTTACTTTATAAGTAATATAAAAACATTTAAGTATATCTTAACTGTTACTATTGTGTTTAAAAGCTTTTTTTAACAATAAGTTATGTTTAGAATATTGAAATATATTTTTTTTTACTTTATAAAAATAAATCATTTTACGGTCACAAGTACATCTATAGGTACTATCTATACTAATATGATAAATTGTTACTCTTTCACGTCAGAACGGCTGAACGGATCTGGATGAAATTTGCCACAGAAATAGATTATAGATAGTCTCGAATAAGACATAGACTACTTATTATCCCGGAAAATGTACGGTTACCGTGGGATAGGTTTGTTTTTGTTTTGAACCCGATCGAAGCGATGGTGAGCCGCTAGTACGTAATGTAACTTCGCGTAATATACCCAATCTTATGCAAAATTGCAAATTATAGATTACTTGCCATCTTTGGCAAATGTAAATCGCAAAAAGATGGCAAATTGAGCACCTCCTTTCTGAAATCTTCTGATTGAAGCAACGCGGGTCGCTAGTAGGTATATGGACAAACGTGATCAAAATTATTTTTTAATTAAAAGACCTTATCTATTTGCACATCTTACTAAAACGTAATTTGTGTGTGTAGTCTGTCCTTTTTAATGTTCCATAGCTGGGCACGGGCCGCTCTTTACTATAAGGGGGAACAAACCATATTACATCACGCCGACTAATAATTCACTCCAATAAAAGTGGTAATCATATTGGAAATGATTCTCATATATAAATATCAGAGGTGCGAGCAGCCAGACCTGAGATTTGAACTAGCTTTACTCGGCTTTCCCAAGCGAGCGCTACTGGGCTACCACTGCCACAAACGTAATTTACCAGTAATAAAATATTCCTTCAATGAGTTTAATATTAATCTTGTATTTATATTTTTCAGGCGACAGTAGCTGTTTGTGTAGTAGGCGACTGCGGGCCGAAGTTAAAATATGCATGGGGTGATGCTCTTCAAGATACGGACTGTCCTGGTCCTGATGGAACACCATACCCTAGGTACATTTGCTTAAACTTCTATTAATATAAATTATGTAGCTTCTATACAAGTCTTCTTCTCCCTGCCCATTTCCCAATCACTTGGGGTCGGCGCAGTACATCTTCTGTACTGCTGATAGGATTTGGCAAAAGTTTTACGACCGGCCGCCTGCCTGACGTCAACCCTCCTTGGGTAGCTTCTATACAAGTATAAAATATAAAAGGCTTTGACGAATCTATTATAATACGTTTCCGTATCTGCACTATAATTTGTATTTTAGAGTGAGATTAATTAACAATGCTTAGCAAATGTCAAATTGTACTGTTTAACAGTTGCTAATTATAATTTTAGTGACCCATAATGTTTTTTTTTTCACCGAATTTACAAGTTCTAATGTAGGTACAGTTCGGTGTTAATAATACACAATTCCAGTTAATGGATTTATTTCATTGATTGTTCTGTATTAAATGTCAATGATTATTATTAATAATAAATTCTGAACAATATAAGTACTGTAACGAAAATAGCGAAACATATTAACATTATTGATGACAAAGTATTAATGAACGCATATCGATTTCTGCCTCATTACTATGTTGACTTTAGAAAATAATCCCTTCTAATTACATAACACGCGTTTTGAGACTTTGTTATCTGGGAATTAAAACTGCCTCGGTGGTGTAGTGGCTAGCATGTACGGCTGCACACCCGGAGGTCCTGGGTTCGAGTCCCGGGTCGGGCCAAGTTTAGTTATTAAGTCTTTCTGTATAGAAAGTCTCAGTAACAGCCCGGAGTTGGGAAGTTGGCGGTGTTTCACCCCCGTGCCTCGGAGAGCACGTAAAGCCGTCGGTCCTGCGCCTTAACTCTCACCGGTCGTGTCGAGTGGTCGTCCCACCGGAGTATGAGAGTGATAGGAATAGAGAGTGCACTTGTGTCTGCGCGTACACTTGAGCACTATAATATCTCCTGCGCAGTTGGCTAATCTCAATGAGATTGGCCGCCGTAGCCGGAATCGGCTAGGAGAACATCATCTGGGAATTAGAGTTGGTTTTTATTTAAACCTGCACTGACAGTTCAGCGTCAACCGGTTCGATAGATAAATGGACAAAACGCGTTCGTACTGGATTGCGGGCGAGCGAGACGCTTTAACTAAGTAAATATTCGTATTTGTCCGGCGCGGCATTCGGCGGAGTTCGGTTATTTTCGTTACCTCCCGATGACATCACTACTCGTACAACGAAGCTTCTCTGCGCACCGATTAGTTCACAATTCACATTTCGCTGTTAAAGGTTTATACGCGTAATAACGTGGTGTTATTGTGAAATACAAAAGTATTTTATAAGTCTAAGTTTTATTACTGCGTCTAAATATACGTAAAATTTTTGAAGTTATATATCTAACAGATTTATTATAACATATTTCATATGTCTGATACTAATACGTCTAGTAACGATGTTGATCGAGAGGAATTTTATCGGCGAGTTCACGAATTGTTACAAAGTAAGACTGCGCCGAATACGTTTCTGCTGACTGCAGCGAAGTACGCTCGATTACTACTGCAAGTGAAAGAAGCAAAAACGAAAATAAAAAAGGAACCGGCGGATTACCGTCGAATCAAAAGATATGATATCATTTCAACTCCACAAGGCGAGCGACTTGTTATGGCAAATACCGATGGTAAGAAACAACAGATGTTTGTTGGATTGGAGGAGATTTATGACATTATACGAGAGTACCATATAAAAATGAACCACGCAGGGCGAACACGCTTAATGAACGCTATTAAGCCAAAATATAAAAACATTACCACTCAAATTGTTATGCTTTATTTGTCACTTTGCGAAGGTTGCAAGAATAAAGTCGTTAAGCGAAATAGAATTTTTAAACAGTCGGATAATTCTTATAGTGAAATGGTATTAGGAACTGAAAAGTCAAACGAAGTAGCCGACACGAACCCTTTGAAAATAGAAGTTGCACGCGAGTTTGTTTCCACTGAGGGCCGAGAAGATTTTTCTGATTGTGATATGGAGAGCATAGAAGAAGATAGTAAAATTTTTCCAGAACTATTTTCAAGAGGTCAAATGGATATATTAGATGTCATGACCGTATCAGGGGATAATTATAAATATTTGATGGTTTATAGAAACCTTGTGACAAAGTTTATTCATTTGAAGCCTTTGAAAACTATTAATATAGAAGAAAGCGTCGATGCCTTGTTGGATATTTTTCTTGTATTTGGCGCTCCAAACATTTTACAATCAAAGAATGGTATATCTGTGACGAAACAAATTTGTCGTAGAATGTATACTGTGTTTCCAGAAATTAAAGTGATGGCTGGTGAAGTGACTTTAAATAAAATAGTTTTCAAAGGAGAATCTAATGAAGATATATTAAAGCTGTTACGCGATTGGTGTAAAGATAATAAGACACAAATGTGGTATCAAGGTGTGAAATATGTCCAACATATGTTAAATAGTACATTTAATATAGAAATTTGTCGAACACCCAGTGAGTCCGTCTTCGGTAGTAATCCGAAGAAGGGAATAGCGTCATTTATGGGGAAGAATGACTATGACCACCTAGTGACAGAACAGGATTTGAAAACAGCTTTAGAAGAAAAGGAATCTGGCAAAAACTCAGAACAATTGCTTCTAGAAGAATCATTGATACCTTCTTGTAGCTTTATCAAATTGGAAATGGAGACTAATCAAGAATTTAATGACGATGATAGTAGTCAAGATAATTAAGAAAACGCAAATTATAATTTATAGCGAACATTTTATAGCAAAGTCTTTTTCATGGTACGATAATATCCAATGGTATATTTAGGTTATTTTGGACAAAACAGAAATTATAAGAATAACTATATATTAAGAGGAATTTAAGTCCCGTTACGGCGACGTGAGTGTTTATCCTCCTTTTACACATTCGTGAGAAATTTCCCATTGGACCGTTTTAGTTAAGTTATATGCTTTTAGGTAATTTCGTCTATACTTATAATGCGATTTGAAAATTATCGCTATTTACCATTGTTCTGTCGGAGCGTGGGATAATAGTTCTTACGCCATCTATCGGTAATTGTACGAAATTGTCTACCACCTGTCTGGTAAAGAGGTTGATTACAAAGTATGTTGCAAGTCCCTATTAATTCCAGTAGATGTCAGAAATTACCTAGTTATTCTTTTTATTTTGATTATTTTGTTCGTGTTTATGACAACAACCTTACCTTTAAATAATACCTTTCAACTAAATATATATGTATTTGGCTCATAATATTATTCGACATTTTGTTTATAAGCTGAATATATATATTTCCTAATAAAACGTGTTTTAACTTTAAAAAATCTATACATATAATAAAATTGTAACTAAGCCGAATCTGTACACTAAATACTTATTTTTTGGAAAATCTTATTGAGATAGACATTATTATCGATACATAGACCGAATAGTAGTATTAGTTTTTAGAATTTTTGTCTGTCTGTCTGTTACCGCATCACGAGAAAACCACTGGACAGATTTTGATGAAATTTGGTATGATGATAGCGGGTTCTCCGGGTCAACATATAGGATTTACCGCGGTTTCTACCATTTTTTACCGCGGGAAAAATATCTCATTTTTGAGAAAAAATACAAAAACTGCATTGTAAGAGTATACTAATATGTAAAACCTAAGAATTTGGTTTTTGGTCATCTGATATTACTTTTGTGCTGGGTATAATTGGCACTTTGATGTGGACAGTGCAATTCTCGCTAGGGGCAAATATTTATACTGACCATAAATTATGTTATATAGACGAGGTCTGATGTCGATTAGAGCGATATGTAGAACTCTGCCTAGAGCACATTAGATACACTCACCTAAAAGTTCGTTAATGCCGGAAAGGACTGATCACAGAAACGATTTATTTTATATTATTTAAATAACTCGACTTACACAACAACCCTAAGTACATACATGAACTAAGATCGGCGGTAAATGATTAGATAGATATAAATCCAATATAAATGTTTCTCGAAAACGGGACTCGAACTAGCGAACTCCTTGTATATGACCGATATTCAGAGTAGCAACACTAATTCTTGTATACAAGTCCGAAGAATGAGAGGTCATCTTTAGGCTTAAAAAAAAATGTACTCATTCCAGCTGTTTTCTTTTTTGGATAGACTTATAGGTATGTTATGCGATATTTTCGCAAATTATGAATTAATTTTAATAATTATTATTTTTAATCCCCGACGCAAAAAGAGAGGTGTTATAAGTTTGACGTCGATGCCTGTCTGTGTGTGTGTCGGTCTGTAGCATCGTAGCTCTCAAACGGATGGACCGATTTCCATGCGGTTTTTTTCATTTGAAAGCCAGAATTTTAATTTATAATTATTAATTAACAGACAGGTATACATGTACAGTGTATACCTGAAGGCGAATATAATTTATTTTGATGTCGGTATATTTTTTAAGTCGATTAATCTATCTTACCAATTGAAATGGAAATTAGACATAATTTTAATATACTCCCATTAATAGCCGTATCGCTTTCAACTGATACCAAATAAACTAGTAGAGAAAGAAAATGTAGCTTAATCTTTAAAAAAATATTTTTCTTGAAGTTAAAGGTATCCTAAACGTTGACTCGAGTAACAAGTTATAACTTCACCAAACGTTGAAATCGGTCATACAAAAACAGACAAACAGACATACATGCAAACAGAGAAACAGACAAATTTTTTGATAACTTTTGTTTTGGGGTTTATGTTGTGTACATAATACGTTACAAATAAACGAAAACATCTATCCCACGGGAACCGCACATTTTTCGGGGATAAAAAGTAATCTAATTGTTATTCTGATGTATGACCTATTTCTATTTCCTTATTATTTATTCCTTATTGTAAAGTTTCATCAAAATCCAATCAGTAGTTTTTGTGTACTAAGCTGTATAAGTTACAATAGTTATTTGACTGTCCCACGGGAACTATTTAATTTTCCGGGATAAAAAGTATCTAAGATGTTGCCCGGGGATATAAGGTACCACCATACAAAATTTCATTTAAATCGGTCTGATAGATTCGGAGATTAGCCCGTACAAACAGACAAACAGACAGAGAAACAAAAAAATTGAAAAAATCTGGATTTGTTCTATTTGTCTTCATAGATCCCCCTGACTCGGTTTTTAGCATTTTTTTTGCTATGTACAGACATTCGACCTCTACTGTTTTATTATAGTATAGATAATTAACAATTTGGCTTTGCTTTGTTCGGGTGCGCCCCTGGGCACCTAGCAGTAGCCTACGTGTTATTCCAGGTTATATTCTATCTACATATTAAATTTAATTTAAATTCGTCCAGCCGCTTATAGTTATATATACCATTAATTTTTATATACTATTTTTTCTTCTAGACACCTTGTGAATCGGGCACTTAAATCATCGTGGGGCCAAACGCGGCAAGGACGAATGGCACGTCTACTCGATCCAGCTTTGATGCGAAAAGCGTTATTGGACGCCCACGCTGGTTATTCTGAAAGTACAGTTAAACCTTCAAACGGGAATCGAACTGGTAAGAATTGAAACATAAATTTTACAATTTTGTGGAGATTGCTCTTCCCTTAGTTTAACTGGGCTTTCTCTGGGATTTCTTTTTCGCTATTTATATAATATAGGCATTGGTGACGTTTTCGCTTTAAAAACCGAGTGAAGCCGGTTTAAATCCGGGGTTCTCTACATATTTTCATGTGCAAATCATTTTCAATATTATAGGTCATCACTTACCTTACCGTGACTAAAACATTGTGAGGAAACGTGCATGTCTGAGAAAATCTACAAAAATGTGAAATCTGTTAGACTATGGTCTGAGACTCTGATCCCTCTCGTACCTATGGAAGCCGTTCGCGCCCATCACTGGGACGTTAAAAGGGCTGAATTACTTAAAGTAATGGGAACGACTAATTAATAATATTGAAATGAAAACTAATTTAAAATAATAATAACAGTCTGTATAATATGTAAGAGTCAATTTATATCAGTTAGCGATATTATGTAGGTCTAAGAATCTAGTGCTTATCGCAGTTTTGTTCACACATATGAATAGAAGCTAAATAAATAGATTTTATCGCTTTATTCTTTGAAACATATACTTACACTACCTTATTTTAAAACCGGCTTCTGGCTATTCTTGGCGTGCAACGGTGCGCTCTTAAAGTTATAATAACGCAAAAAGTAATAAATAATAACTATCATTACGTTTCGTTTATAACAACAGCAATTAGTAACAAAATCGTTATTGCAATTTATAATAGGGAGGAGGGAGAGGGAACTTTACTCGAGCGACTAAAAATATACGAATGTGAATGTTTTTGTATGTTATTTACATATTATGTTATGTTTAGGCTTCAACCTTTATAAAATTTATGTCTATGCTAATATTATAAAGAGGTAAAGTTTGTGAGTTTGTGACGTTGTAAGGGGTAAGCTCTGGATATACTGAACCGATATAGATTATATTTGGTATGGTATGGATTAAGAAAATAGTTTGAGACCCTGGAAAGGACAAAGGATACTTCTTATCCCGCAAATCATTCCATGAGGGGGTGAAAATGGGGATGAAATTTTGTATCGGGAAGCAAGCCAGGGACGAACCCGAGCGAAGCAAGGGTGAGTCGCTAGTTAATATTATAAAGAGGTAGACTTTGTGAGTTTGTGACGTTGTAGGGAGTAATCTTTGGATCTACTAAACCGATTTAGATGAAATTTGGTAAGAAGGTAGGTTGAGACCCTGGAAAGAACAAAGGATACTTTTTATCCTCAAATCATCTCATAAGGGGGTGAAAATGGGGATGAAATTTTGTATTGGGAAGCAAGCTAGGGACGAAGAGTGAGTAGCTAGTTGTTAGATAAATCTAACATATTTTTAACTATATTGGAACAAGCAGCTCTAGACTTTAAAGCTTTTAGAAAAGACGAAATATAAAAATTATATAGGTATACCTGAGCGACCGAGTTTCGCTCGGCGTTTTTTCGGACAAGATATAAAATTGGCGTTTTTTTCAGAAAGACAGCAATTTGATCCAAATCGCTAGAACCGTTTCCGAGTTACACGAAATAAATTTATAGGAATACGTGATTTGCTTATTTAATACTAGCAGAACCCGCGGCTTCGCTCACCCTAAAACTGCAAAAAATCTCTAAAAAGGTAGTTTCATACAAACTTTCATCCCCTATTTAATCCCCTCGTAGGATAAATTTCGAAAATTGCTAAAACAAGTATTTATTTAACTGTACTGAAGAGCATTAATATCAAGTTTCACGTAATTCTGATCATAAATATTTTTTGGGTTGTATTATAACGTGTTTTCCCATGGGAATGAGATAATCTCCTGCGGTAAAAAGTAGCCTATGTCACTTTCCAGCCCTCCAACTATCTCCACATAAAAAATCACGCCGTTCCGTTTCCACTTGAAAGAAGGACAAGCAAACAACACACAATATTTATAATATTAGTATGGATTATAAGAATTCTGCCTATTATAATTATTTCACAATATTTCTAAAATGTCTGACACTTCAATTGGCTTCAAAAATTTGCAACATTTTATAACTAATATTTTGATTGTTATTAATTAAGTATTCTCTTAAAAGATAAAAACAAAAATATGAAAAATATGTAAAATATGACGTACGAGTATAATTTTAAGTTAGGTCATCGGCCTTCAAGACATATGCATAATTGTAATGCTACGTTGAACACTGTTTGAGTACCGTTTTCAAATGTAGACCCCAATCGTAAAGTGGTTTTTATGTTATAGGCAATGACTTTATATTCAAAATTCAAAATAATTATTATAAAAAAGATTTTTTGCTTCACCAAATTTGAAACAGTTATTTTCTGCTAGCGTTCTTTGTGTTGCTTCTTTTGTTTAGTGTTTTTTGTGTCCTAGGTTCTAGTCTAGAAGAAACCAAAAAAAAAATTGTTTTCTTAAAAAATTTTTTGAGGATAAATTAAATCGTAGATCATGCCTCTGGTTTCTTGACCGTGTGCACACACGGACTATGAAAGTCAAGGAATAGAGTGCATCTGTGTACACAGTACAATGTACAAGTTTAAATTTTTGTAGTGTAATTTTATATATAACCATTCACCAATACCGAAATCGCTTAGAAACAGCTTAGATAGACATGCATATTTAGCTTTTCTTATTATGTTAGAGCGTATAAATTCGACATCACCCGCGGTTATAATTTTGTGTATTAATTTGTATTAATGTTTTAATGTATTAATCAGTTGGTTTCTATGGTTAAAGTAATTTAGTCGTATTTCGTATAAGTACATTCCATACGTACTAGATTTTTTTATATAGCTAATATGATCTAGAAAATAGAATACCTTGTAGCATGGCTTGTCATAATATTCATAAAATATATGACGGCATGGCAGTGATAGGCCAGTGGTGACGCGCTCGCTTGGGAAACCGAGTGAAGCGGGTTCAAATCAATTCGGGAGTACATATTACGGCTATTAAATAAAAACGTTAAAATAATAAAAAGTGATCGAAAATAATATTATTTTCAAGCAAAAATTGAACAAGCACTCACCACTTAAAAGCTTTAGGTATTATAATTTACTGACAACTGCCTGTTAAATTGCGTATCTTCTGAGTCTTTGAATTAAAATTCAATTAAAAAAAAATGAAAAGGTACCTACTTAAGTCGGGCGTATATGTTTTATGCGTCCATATGTTACGCGATATCTTCGGTAATTTGAAAATAAGTATTCTCAAGTGGTCCCATCTTAATAAAAAAAAAATTATTCCACACTTAAATATGAATATTTAAATCTATACAAATGTATAATAACATTTTAACTGAATCGAATCTGTACATTGAATATTTTTTGAAAATTTTATTTAAATAGTAATTATTATCGATGCAGAGGCCGAATCTATAGCTTTTATAATTTTTATTTGTCTGTCTGGGAACGCATCACGAGAAAACCACTGGACAGATTTTGATGAAATTTGGTATGATGATAGCTGGTTATCCAGGTCAACATTAGGATACCTTTTACTGCGGGAAAATATCTCATCTGTACGTAACGTTAAAACGTAACTAGGGACGAACCCGGTCCCGAGCGGATCGAGGGTGAGTCGCTAGTAAGGAAATAATTGTCAGTTTGTTTTTAGTTAAAAATGACAAAATTTAACTTTATTCAATTAGACTTATACAAGAATATTTGAAGAGAATTAATTAGAACATTAAGTATATTATGTTTTATTTAAAAAGAATGTTATTAAACAATATTATACTCACTTCCAGCGCGTGCCATGAACATGCCAGATATCTCTCCGCCCAGCATGAACGCTTGTGGGGGCGGGCGGTTGTGCCGGACGCGGTACAACACTACCGCGCCTATGTACGGCGTCTCACTTACATCTGGTCAGCCTGTTACTATCGTTCAGAAGTTTCCTGATCTTTTACAGCAAGTTGTCTTTGAAGTTTGCGAGTGAGTATTTCATACTAGTTTATGCCTACGGTTTTACTTACGTGAGAATGTTGCCTTATTACAAGCTTTTATTTAATCTGCAATGTTTGTATGTTTTTTCGAATGAAATCTTGCAACTGAATTTTTAAACAGTTATTCTCAAGCGATTTTGTTGAAATTTTGCATACACGTTTAGTTTGAATGATAATGTATGGTTAGCTAAGTAACGTCGTTCTAAATCCAAATCCAATCCAAACAAATCACGCGACAAGCTTTAATATCAAACCTCGCTCGGGTTCGTCGTTTTATTCGTCGTTCGTTTTATTTTTTTTTGAGCGAAACACTATTTCTTTTTCTAAAATAAAAGTAGCCCACGTTACTCCTTAAAATCAGTCCCTGAAAGTCCCGTCAAAATCAGTCCAGCCATTTCAGAGATTATCCGGAACAAACAGACAGACAGACAGACAGACAGAAAATTTAAAAATTGTGATTTTCTTATAAGTACCGTATATAATTTCATATGCATTTAGTAAAACGTTGTTATTTTGACATTACGAACAGACACTTCAATTTTATTTATCTGTATAGATAACTAATAACTATTCAATTTTATACCTACTTAATAAATTGATGGGTTTGATTTAATATAATGTTTATTTTCTTCTTTTTAGAACATCTAAGTAAACGCATGTTTAAAAAAAAATTACGTATTTAGCGCTAATTATTGATAAGTTTAGAACTAAAGTATTCTTAAACGAGAGCAAATCGCTTATAATAATAGTTGTAAAATTATAATTCAGAGCATTTGCAATTAGTCTCATAAACTTGTATAAAGCGATATTGTGATAAGTCTACTTCGTGATTCTATCAATCGAGATAATGAGATAAATAGATAAATGAAAGGAATACATCGCGATTTGTGTTTTCTACTTAGGGCATAACGATAACTTTCATGATGATATTTTCATGATACTACTAATTATAACGATTGTCGGCCGATTAAATTATTTGTTTTGTGTTAAGCGCAGTTTTACTTCGACTTTAAACTTGGTTGCAGTCATTGACTCCGATTCCCATATTTCGAATTCAAAATCTCCGACTCCGGTTCCCATAAAACCACCTCCCTAACATTCCTAGGTGATACATAGAAGCTACATATGTGTAAAAGAAATTAAATATCAAATATAATAATTAATTTGTAGGTAAATAATGTGCTTGTTTTTAACAGAAAAATATTTTTTTGGTTTCCGTATATAAAAAAGAAGAAATGAACCCATAAAGGACCACTTCGTTGTCCGTCCGTCCATCTGTCTGTCCTTATTCTTAGGAACACGTGGAGGTATCAAGTTGAAATAAATATTAAATATCCCTTGAAGTTGTGAAAAAATCTTCTAAAATCTAATTAAATGCAATCAAAAGATACGGCAGTTTCTGCCACATATTTTGACACTCGGAGGGGGAATTGCAAGGGAGACAAAAAAAAGAAAGTTTTTTTTTTTCAACTAAAAACTTATTTTAATGTTTCAGTCTACGGAACCATCGGTATGTGAGTGAGACTCGTTTAAATATGTGGTATGTTTAAGATGGGCTGTTTTCTTAGAATTTATGTTTATCGATTTCGAATTATCTTTTTCTCATTCGATTATCGGAATCACGATATGTTTTATTTTACTTTCTTGGACCAACTACATTATTATTGAATTTATTTTTCTTTGCATGGTTCATAAAGAATATTTTTATTTACATAATTTTGGCACCTGTAATGAACAACATTGTACTTCAGTATTGTACTTTTTTGACTTTATACTTTAAAATTTAAATATATAATAAGAAACTAGTGACTCGCCACTGCTTTGGGTACGTCCCTAGCATAGGTACCTAGAAATAAGTCTAAGTAACTCGTTAAATTGTAGTTTTTTTAGAATACGCCATATGTGTGGAATAATTTATTTATGTATAGATAGATCCTTTTGATAATAGCAACTTAGTCTAAGGTTCGAAATAAGGTCACCATTCACTCATATTATATATCTCTTCTTAGCTAGCACATTAAAATCGGTTGGAAAGACATTATTATAATTAACTAGCATTGCCCGCGGCTCCGCCCGCGTTCAGATGATCAAAAAGCAAATTCTTAGGTTTTACGTATTAGTATACTCTTACAATGCAGTTTTTGTATTTTTTCTCAGAAATGAGATATTTTCCCGCGGTAAAAAGTATCCTTTATGTTGATCCGGATAACCAGCTATCATCATACCAAATTTCATCAAAATCTGTCCAGTGGTTTTCTCGTGATCCGGTAACAGACAGACAGACAGACAGACAGACTAAAATTCTAAAAACTATAGAATCGGACTCTGTATCGATAATAATGTCTATTTCAATTAGATTTTCCCAAAAATATTTAATGTACAGATTCGACTTAGTTACAATTTTATTATATGTATAGATGTACATTGTTTCAGATCAAGTGAATGTTCGGTTGTACGTGGTACCTGTACACAAACTTACGTCCCATACTTGTTTCTCGTATTGCCTTTAGGACCAGTGACGTTGACGGGCCAAGACTACGTTTTAGTGGAGTCTGGATGTGTTTGCAGGCCGAGCCTAGCTTAGATAAACAAAATTATTTACCTAGTTAATACGATCATTTTGTGGTCTATTAGAAAATTTTATTGTGATTCAAATTTGGATTTTCTTTGAGTTACTCGAAGAGTTTTTGATATATTGCCCAGAGCCAGATTTAGGAAGGGTTTATTTCTATAGTGCAATAAATTCGTTATATGTTTTGTTATGTGAAAATTATGATTTCACTTTATTTACTAAAAAAGATAGCCAAAATAACTCCTTTAATTATTTGGCATATTATTACGGGCCTTAAATCCTTTATTGCTGGGGCACTTTTAAATCCGGTCCTGGTATACTATAATGTCAAGATATAGTCCGACAAAATTTAGATGTATTTATTATTCCCAATTAAACAATTGTATAGAATACATAACTTAAATACATTAATTTAAGGATTAAAATATAGTTTAAATTGTTAATGTTATTTATGAAGAAAACATTTTTTTTAATTTAAGAACAAATAGCGAAGTGCATTAATGTTATCAGTGTAATAAAAATATAACTATAAAATGATATATGAAAATGTTTTGTCGGTCATTTTGTGGTTTCTATTTTTAAACGTATATAGACTGAATATATAATTGTTAATTTATAAAGATAATATCTAATTTATTTTCAAATGTATGTAATGCATTAGCATTATTCGTGTAATATTTAGTTTTATCACATACTGTGACAAAGAACAACGAATGTAAGAATAAAGTATTACAAAATAAAGCTGTTTTATTTAATACTAGTTTTCACCCGCCGCTTTGCTTGCAATCGGGATAAACTATTGGTAATTGGGACTTACAAATTTCGCCGAAATCTGTTCAGCGAAATCTTTTAAACTTGAAAAGGACTTAAATTTGATTCAGACCACTACGCCATGAGGACAAAATCTTGCTTTGTCAATTTAATTTTTTTTTAAATCTATTATTATCTATTAAAGGAAGAGCTTATGCATTATGTATCAAATCCTGAAGATGAACATTGGAGATTTTGAACGTTTTTCTTAATTCTTGTAAGCATTTCAAGGAAAAATACGTACATTATTTTTTTTGTCTTGATGACATTAGGTATTGTTTAAACTTTAAACATTCCAAGGGTCAACGTACAATGTACAAGAAAGGCCAATGGCTTTTGATTTTAGCCTTCAATAAAACGACGTTTGCTGATTTTTGGATTCACGATTTATAATGTTTATAAAATAAGCAGAAGCAGAAGAAACAACTTTCTCTTTTATTTTTTATTTATGGCTTAGAATAGTTTTTTTAAGTTTTTCTTTTGGTTAAATAATGTAAACCTTTTAACGTTGTAATAATGTAACCTTTTAGTAAGTCACGGGTCTAATTAACGAATAGCTTATGGTACGAGGCTATTAGCATTATATAATATGTATATATTTATTATATAATAGGTATAATATCAGTATGGACTATAGAAAATTAAAAGAAACATTCTGTGGCATTTACTCTAAAGAAAAATAAATGAGATAACAAGAAAACCTATTGCAAAATAAATCAGGTTCTTATACTAATAACTAATTTCTTAGTGGAAAAAATAAAGGTAGGTAATATTAAATATATAAAATGTTTTGTATAATAAAAATTTTATTTCATTCATTTTACATTCATTGGGACTTAGAATTCGAAACCCTACACTAATAGTTCTCAATTACACTTCTAACTAAACTACTTTTACTCTATAATTTGTTTACAATTGGCAACCTACAAAACATAACATTAACGACAAACATGACTAAACAATGTCAGATGTTTTTTTTTTTAACACAAGGGTATAACCCTAGAAGCCAATCATAGACAATAACGTGACTCCACACATTAGGACCAATTTCGATATATAAGGAACGAGTTATTTTAATTGATCCGTGTGTGGTTAGATCGTGTGTATTAATATTTTTTTAATTTATTCGTAACGGTAGTATTGTTGTGGGGCTTGTTGCCTTTGTTGGGCGATCTGGGGCTGGTGTTGGATTTGGGGCTGATGTTGAATTTGGGGCTGGTGTTGTATCTGTTGTGGTGCTTGAGCTTGTAACTGTGGCTTGGGTGTTGGGACCTTGACTACGATGTCGGTAGGCTGACGGGAAACCTGAAAATATGATGCAATACTTATATATGAAACAAACTCATTAAGCATAGATTATTGTATTAGAGGGATTTTTTTAATTATAATAAACAATTAATATTTGTAGTACTAAAACTTAGCGTGAAAGTGATGTAAAAGAGAGTTTTTACCACGCACGTCACCTGGGTTTATAAATTAGGAGGAGGTCTAGTAAAATATGTACTTTTAAAAATAATTCCTATTTTATTCATTAATAATTGATTGTAAATATTAATTTAATTAAGCTCGCATAGATTATTTCAAAACAATATAAAAAATATATTTTAATGAGTTTTAAATAATTTTAACACTCCTCACCTCAGCTCTGAAACCTTCTTTAGGGTCAGCAGTGTAAGTGACGGTTCTTATAAAGCCATCGCTGTCCACGACTGAGTAGGAGCCCTTGATTACGTCTCCATCTCTTTGTTCTTTACGGTTCTGGTAGTTCGTATATTGGTCGTCGTTTACATCAAAACCAAATTGGTAAGATGGATTAGCCTGGAACAATATAGAAAAAAATCTTTACACTTATGTATATTTTTAACTTATTTTTAGAAGTGTAATAAAATAATTTTTAATTATAGCTTGTTATATCCGGAGGCAGAAACATCAGTAGATAATCACTACGTTTCCTTCCTCGTTCGTTCTAAGTTAGTTTTTGTATAACGGTATAAAAAGAAGACTTTATCAGCTATAACTAATTTTATGAGAGAATAATAAACCAACAAAAATGTTTTTGTATCTTCTATATATATATAAAACAAAGTCGGGTTAGTTACACCATTAACCATTTATAACTTAAGAACGGCTGGACAGATTTTTATGATTGAATAGCAGAATAACTAAATATTAAAATGCCTATCGAAAATTCACAAAAAAATATACATGGCTAACGCTAATAATTGTTTAACTAATAATTATTTATTTCTAATTAGAACGTAGATGTAGGGACGCACCCGAGCGAAGCGACGGCAAGTCTTTACTTTATAATAATAATGACGGTTTAAACTAAAGTAATCATTAATTGATTACTTATAGTGATTAATGAAGTTATTTAACTAACGTTAACAATTAATTGGGCGAATAATAAATATAATAGAATATAATAGAATTATAGAATAATATTGATAGGGTAATTACCCTATCAAGCGATATGCCAGAGGTACTCAAATTTTGTACTCGCATAGATTTATTTCGTAATATTTTAAGTATTATTTATTTATTCTTTATTACTTAATTTTTTATTACTGAGTAGGTTAGAATACTAGCCCATGTAATAAGTCTGGACATCTGTTTTCCTACACTCTGATGACCCTATTTCAATTTGTTTCATAATATGTGTTTTATTTATTATTTGTTTTTTATAATAAATAATATTTGTTTCATAATATTTTAAGATACGAACATGGAAAAAAATATTTACAGTTGACTTAAAAATGGAGGGTGAACTCAATTCGACTGTATTTTTGTGTGAATGTTTCGCTCTACATTTCTTTCTCTATTGTAAATAGATTTTATAATCAATTTTACTATAAATATTATAAAATTAATGGTTGTATTCACAGGCCGTAATTTAACTGTCCCTGTTTTATATGAACGAGACAATCCAGTTTCGAGTGAAAGTCGATCTTGTCCCGATCCTACGATAAATGATCCGCACGTATTAGATAGGCATTATATACGAGTACTTTTATTACATTGTTACATGTTAGTCTAATAGGATTGTCCTATAAATAACTAATTAAAGGTTTTATGGTAAAGCATGGTAATCTATACTAATATTTTAAAGAGGCAGAGTTTGCTTGTTTGTGTGTTTGGTTGTTTGAACGCGCTTATCTCAGGAACTACTAATCCGATTTGAAAAATTATTTTTCCTATAGATAGCCCGTTTGTTGAGGAAGTCTATAGGCTATATATCATATAGTTTACAGTATATCTACTCCATACTAACCGTTAAAACGTACCTCGCTAATAACAAATAAAATCGTCTTGTCATAGAATAATAATATGTCACTCCCATATTTTTTCTCTCAATAATTATAGAATGACATCTAGTTTAAGCTCCCGTAATAAAACTATAATTGTTAAGTGTTTGTTAAAATTTATTGCAATAATTGTGATTTATTCTAACAGGCTTTTACCAGAACTTGATAGAACCAATGTCTAAATATAAACACGGAAACATCTGACCAACTTTGTGAAAGCTTGCTTTGCTTCAATAGCAAATTAGTATAAGTGTTTGGAATAAGGAATGCTATTTAACCTGAACGCAGGACACTCGTTTCATCTTCCTGTTTTAGCTTCCTCATACGATGTTCACTTCTTATCCATACTTATACTATGTTGGCGTCACATTAAAAAGCCACAATGATGATTATTTTTATCGTAGAACATAGAAACACGATAAAAAATATCGATACTTTATATAATAAATGTTGTTTTATCTTGTTATGTTAATTAAATAAATTAAATAGTGAAATTTTAATATATAAAATATGTCAAGATAAGGTCCAATCTAAGCTTTATCAAGTTTTTCATGTAAACGGCAATACAATAAGGAAAATACATGTATTTTCTGAATCGCGACGAAATGAGGTTTTAACGAGTTACTTGTTCTGCATAGGGTCAATGACTTGTCTATATAACATTACTTTGTTAATAATATTAGCAAAAAAATTTTTTTCCTAAGTATTCTCAAATTCCTTGATATTGGCAAATGTTAAAATAACGGCTACTTCTAATATTTTACATACTTCTTTATTGTTATAATAACTATTGCCCTTCATTTTGTGGTTATTTATTATATTCTATAATTTCTGCTAAGTATAAATCAATTACTACATTCTTCATTCGAATCGATTAATCAATACAAATCTAAATCGATAATTTGCAATAGGTTTTAGATAATTGTTATCAAAGCAATTTTTAGTAAACGGGGTTAAACTACAACATGGTACACAGAAGTGGATTCTGCAGAATTGTATAGGTACATAATATATTAAGCTCATATTTTTGAGCAGAACCAAAACTCTTTTTCTAAAATAAAAGTTGCGTAAGTTGGTCTTTATAAATCTCTCTATGCCGTCTCTATGACTTAGTTTTCTTGGAATATTGTTATTAACTACTACTAACTATCTATACTCATATAATAAAGAGGTAAAGTTTGTTATTTGTGAGTTTGTGACGTTGTAGAGGGTAATAATCTCTGGATCTACTGAACCGATTTAGATGAAATTTGGTAAGAAGATAGTTTAAGACCTTGGGAAGGACATAGGATACTTTTTATCCTGGAAATCATCCCCTTAAGGGGGTGAAAATGGGGATGAAAGTTTGTATGGGGAATAAACCTAGGGACGAACCTGAGCGAAGCGAGGGTGAGTCGCAATTCATTTTTATTTTAGCTTCATAGTTTAAAGAACAAGATTAATTATTATGTAAGTACCTATATCGACTGTTATTATTAAATTTATTTTTACATTTTAAATTTATTTAAATGTAATAGGGCAAACCCATGTCAGATAGAATTATATGGTTCTCAAAGCGAATTAAAAGCACCTTTATAATTTTTTTTTTTAATTTATATGGGACCCCACCACACTTGGTGCAATATATAAAAATCAACAGGTAGTCTATTAATTTAAAAAAAGATAAAGAAATTCCGTTTATTTATAATTGATAAAAATATCGCATAAAATATATATACATAATAAATAAGATACGCTGGTATTGGCTTCCTTTTTGATATCGGTATAACGGAAGTGTAAAATATTAATAATTGTAACAAAGATTTCACAATCACTTTTAACATTATATATTACATATTTCACTAGGGACGTATCCTAGACACATGGGATTGTACGTAAGTATACAAATATGGCGGCGTAACTCGCTAATACATGGGTTCGATTTCCGCTCGGAACAATTATTCCATATTTAGATATTAATGTTTATTTGTTGCTTTGTCATTCTTTAATTCAGTAATTGAGTAACAACTCGTGATATTTTAAACTTTCATTTTATTTGTGTATTGTTATTGATTTGTGGCACATTTAACACTTCCAGTTTGATACGACGGCTAGTCGTCAAATATTATCTGGTCATAATATTACCTTTACCGGTTTATTTAGGTTTAAGGACGATACAAGTTCTTGAACTTTAATTCTTCTTTGTGCCATTAAATTTAGTTATTATCTATTTTTACTGTATATATTTGAATGCTATAATACCAAAATTAAAATAATATATATTATCAACTTACGTCGAAGTCCTCAGGTTCACGCTGTTGCTGTGGCCTGTACTGAGGTTGCGGCTGTGCTTGAGGTTGAGGTTGGTATTGCGCTCTAGGTTGGTACTGCTCTTCTTGTACATTGTAGGGCTAAAGTACAAAAATAATGATAATATACATTACAATAAGAAAAATTCTAAAGATGTAATTTTAGAGAATATGAATGAAACGTATAATAAATACATTCCATTATTTGTAACGATGAAATATCACACGATGCATTATCACACGTTCAAGAACTGAACGTACTTCAGTTGTATTGAAAACTTTGAAAATTTTATAAAATACTTACATGAAAATACATAATATTTTGAAGCAAGCTTTTTCGATATTAAATTTATCACATAAACCATAAACGAAAAAAAATAGCAATACACGAAAACGAGAAAACACTCCTTTTCGTTTGTTGTAAATCGTTATTAATAATTATTTTCTTAATTTCCACTAAACTTAAAGTTTTACTAGTATGATAGAACTAAAGGCTGTATAAAAAAGCACCTCTTTGAAAGCTGGTTAAATATGCTAAGAACTTACGAGTCTCGCCGGCGCTTGAGCAAGTTGTGGGTTAGGCCGCGGTATATGCTGCGCTTGTTGTTGACCACCGATGTACTGCCTCAATAGATGAGGGGGAATGCCTTCATCCTGCTATAATGATATATAAAATTATAATTAATTACTTTAATCAATACTAATATTGAGGCAGTGGTAGCACAGTGAAACTACTTTATAACGAAAATTAAGTTTAAAGGGGGTGAAAAGAAAGTATGAACGTCCTATGTTTTTTTTTGCTGCTAGAGACAAAGATGAGTTATTATATATATATATATATATATATATATATATATATATATATATATATATATATATATATATATATATATATTATATATACTGGTATATTATATTAATAGAAAAGTAAAGAGTGATATTTTATAATGAAGATCAAGGGAAGCGAATGTGCGAATATTATAAATGCAAAAGATCCCTGGGAGCACGCGAGTGAAGAGAGCGTAGCCACTAGTACTTTAAAATATTTTTTGATAGCGGCTCACTTCGCGTAGTAATTTATGACGACAAATAGTAGCATATTAAGTTTTTTATTTGTTTTTATCGACTTTAAATTACGTTACGTTATGTACGTCAATCTTGGTTACATTTCTATTACGAATTACACAAATTCGTCGAGTGTTGCAGCGTGAAGGAAGAAACGCACACGCTCTATGATTCATACTTTTCATTTATAATATTAATTCTAGTTTCTGTATTTTTGTTAGATACATTAGTAGTAATAAAATAAGTTGTACATGAGTGCGTCATATCAATATAATCGTAATATGTGAGACTGACCGAGTCGTTTTCATTAATTATATATTTATCTCGATCAAGTTAATACATTCCATATTTGTTTTCTTTATATAAAAATAATTTTACGAAAAAATGATCTTAATTTTTTCTTAGTGTTTAGATTTTATTTATTTATTATACATTAAACTATGCTAATTAATAACATATTGTTTCATAAATAAATATATAAAAAATTATAGTTAACTTAAAGCTCCTTTCTTCCATACACTGTTAAGTCTTACATGTAAGCTCGTATCCGAAATGAGTAATTCTCGTTACACTTTACCAGACGATGTAGGCCACCGTTACACAAGACAATTGTAACAATGCGACCGGTTACGTGGCTCATTCGACTCGCTTTTTAAATCTTACACACGTTATGCAAATATAAAATCGATATTTTCACTTGCACGCTTGCAATTTTCAACCTGTTGTAATAGTCTAAAGCGCTTCTTGATAGCCAATTGACCGTGGATTTCATATATCATCAATTCGATTCCGAATCGATTCGTTTTACTAAATTATGACGTAATTTTTCGAATTAATATTTGTTCATACATTTTTTTTTAATTATTTTTAGAAAAAATACAGAATACTTAGAATAAAAAAATGCAAGAAATTATGGTATTAATTTTTTTTTAAATACAGATTTTCTAGTCCGCAAGTAATTAAAATAATAATTGTTTGCTCGTTTTATGTATTATAAAAGTTGCAAAATCGATATTCCAAGACTCAAAATAGCAAACTAGGTAAAAAATGAAGCGTGACTTTCTAAATTGGACAACTAATTGAATGCAAAAAGAAGTATTTTAATTTGTCACGCTGCACGTAGCAGCGTTTAATAATAGCTAGTATTAGATAATATTTCTTACATTGTATGATAAAGGCAATTTCATATTTAAACGTTTTGTACCTGCATGATAAAAATAGCAAAAACACATCTCTATAAGTAGAGCAAGAAGTAACATTTGATCTTTTAACATATATTTTTGTTTTATAAATGTTATTTTTGATTTGTTTTTGAATGTATGTAGGTATATATTTTTCTGTAATTTTGCTGGCGGAGGGCGTTAATAATTGCGACACAGTTTTTTAACTTCTGCAATTATTGTCGTTTATACTGAAATTTCAATATCTTTAAATATAAAATCTTTACTTGATATTTGTTTCTTTTTTCAATTGAAATAATAATTTCGGCCACGGCACTTAATTTCACTGAGACTAGCCAACTGCGTAGGAGATATTATAGTGCACAAGTGTACGCGCAGACACAACGTGCACTCTCTATTCCTTTTACACTCAAAGTCCGATGGGACGATACTTCGACACGACCGGTGAGAGTTAAGGCACAGGATCGAGGGATTTGCGTGCTCTCCGAAGCATGGATATGAAACACCGCCAACAATCACCTCTGCGCTGTTATATCGTAATAAAAAACTCAGTCCGACCCGGGATTCGAAACAAGGAACTTCGGATCTGTAGCCGTACATGCTAGCCACTACACCACCTAGGCAGTATTGAGATAATATTAGAGGAATGAATTTCTCTCAATGACTCAGTGAGATTTAAAATATAAATCTTATTAAAACTCTAAAACTGACTAACTGAAATAACGCTTAGTATCAATTACCGGTTTCTAAAGAAGCATAAAATTTTGCATGACAGATGTTTATATAGCGAAAGTGAACATTAAGGAAGGTTTTCTTGGAAATCTACCCCATGAATTCTGCCTTTGTAATGAAATTAAAAATGTATCCCATTGATCACTCTTAGATTAATAACTATAGTATTATTAACTCTTAGATTAATAACTGTAGTATATATATATAGTAGTGGGTTAATATAGTAATATAATTATAAGATTGTCTTTAGTATATATAAATATTTATAATTTAAAGAGAATTTATTGCAATTTGCTCAAATTAAGAACATCAGGAATTAGACAGCTTACAAGATATAATAATTGTATATAAAAAATATACAATTATTGTAGATATAAATCGTAGAAATTTATTTATTTAATATTATTAATGATATTTTTTTTTTAAATTTTACTTAAAATTAAAAAAAAAAATTTATTAAAGATACATGTTAAATGAAGATAAATTAATTTCATTTCCATCCGCAAATTTTATAAATGAATTCGTTGATATATTTACTACATTTACAGAAAGTAATAAATAATTACAACGAATAATAATAATAATTAAGGAAATAATAAAGTCATATTAAATGAAAAACTTACTTGTTGCTGGATTTGGTACTGTGGGGCTGCGACTGCGCACCCCAAAATCGCTAACGTGATACACCTTCGCAACATTGCACACACTGATCTAATAAAAATATTAAAAATAAATTAATATACTATAATGCACTACACACACGGTGGTCCAACGTATTGTATGTTGCGTGTAGGTTACTCTCACTTTATATAGAGGCACCCCTTCTAAGTAGTGAGGGCGGGAGAACTGCCTCGAGAGTGCAATTCCAAAACTGGAGCATAAATTTTAGTGTTTTCTTACTGATAAGTGAGTATTTTTGCTTTACTTATTTTGATTTAATATTGTGTTTTAATTAAATATTAAATAAAATAGTTAAATTGTCATTTTAAAATAAAACAAACTTATTAAAAAAATATTACATTAATATTATGTTAGAATAATATTTTTCAATAATCTATTCTAATATTTAATACTCAATTGTATAAATTAAATTTAATAAAAATATTATGAATTTAATATTAGATTATTAAGTAGATTTAAAGGGATTCCTTAATCAACACAAGTCATGCAATCAGCATTATTAATTTATTTAAACTCAATCATTAATCTTAAAAAATTGAACATTTAATTGTAAAGTTATTAATTACTAGCGACTTACCTTCTCTTTGCTCGGGTGCGTCTTAAGGTACGGTTTTGTTCACAATTTCATGGGTTTTAATTTTTTTGCTCATAACCTAGATTCTTTTTCTAAAATAAAAGTTGCCTAAGTTACTTATTATAACATAAGCTACCTGTCAGTGATAGTTCCGTCAAAATCGGTCCAGCCATTTCGGAGATTGGTCGGAAAAAACAGACAGGCAAACAAACATTTAAAAAATACATTTTTTCTTATTAGTCAGTATACCACTTTCATAATTTAGTAAAAAGCTGTTATAATTGTAGATTAATTAATTATTAATTACATTTATTACACATTACTCAAAAACAACACTACTCGATTTCTATCTGTGCAAGATATTTTAGCATCGGTTCATCAATAGGCATCACATACCTATTACTCGTATTTTTATACACATACATTTTTACCTCTTTAAATTATATTAAATTCGAGGTGTATAATCATTAAAGTCGATTAGATTTCCTAATTCAATAGAGCCTATTTACATCGAAACTATCGATTGCAGTTAAGTTCTTACTTAACAGTAATAGTTAAGTAATTACTTTATCGTCTTTGTAAACTTTGATTTATACTTATAAAAACAGATTCTATCGGTCGAAATTAGTTCTGTGATTTTCCAGTAGACGATGTTTATAGTATACGTAGTAGGGCCTACTCTATCTATAAAATACTAGCGACTCACCCTCTCTCCGCTCCGGTTCGTCCCTAGTTACGTTTTAAAGTTTAGTTTAGATTTCTCAGAAATGAGATATTTTCCCGCAATAAAAAGTATCCTATATGTTGACCCGAAGAACTAGCTATTATCATACCAAATTTTATCAAAATCCCTCCAGTGGTTTTTGCGTGAAGCGGTCTCAGATAGACAGACAGACAGAAAAAAATTCTAAAAACTATAGATTCGGCCTCTGTATCGATAATATCTATTTCAATATGATTTTCTAAAAAATATCTAATGTACAGATTCGGCTTAGGTACAATTTTATTATATGTATAGATATAGATTAAGTACCTGCCAATATCCGACTTCTCATATGTATAAATTGTCATTTTGGAACAAATCAACCATATTAGCGATTAGTGACAAGATGTTAGCATATATGTCATTGTTGTCAGTATCGTGACTTGATTTTAGTTAATAGTTGTTGAATGTCTTGATATGTGCCTAAGCATTATCTACGGCTACCACGCCTCATACCGAATCAAGAGGCCCCGACCTACATACTTTCGGTATTGTATCCCTAACATATTATGTATCTTAAAAATTATTATTGTCCAAGATTGTATTGTACACGCGTATCTATTAGGAGCTCTAAAGGAGTTATTTTCGACTCTCACTCGACTAAGGTGTATTAAAAAGTATCTATTGTATAGAAAAACAGACCAAAATATAATAAAATTCATATAATTTCTATTCCAACTAAAGGTCATCGAAGTTGAAAAATACTTAAAAGTCCATCTTTATTCGGTCGAATTTATCTTACTATTTATAACATGGGAAAACAATACTGCCGTCATAAGAAAGAAGGCCGTAACTAACAATTTGGTCAAAAATGACTTATATGTATTTTCGGAATTAGCAAAGAAATGCTACTTGATAGTCTTACTCATAAACCTCTAAGTCTAATGAATCCAGAGATACCATAAGCATTTTAATCGTAACTACGTCAAAACTAGTGGTAATTTTGACGTAGTAGTAATACAAAACTTCAAATATTAAGAAATCAACTTTGACGAAATTATGGTCTTCTTTCTTAGGACGGCAGAATAGTGGTGTAACATATTATAAAAGACGCGAAATAATAATAGGTTCACGTTTTGCATACACAGAAAAGCAAGAAAAATTTGATAGCACACATACATCCCAATTTAGTATACTTCAAAGGGTATATGTATGTCTTTGAAGTCCTTCTTGGTTTTCTTGGAAGTCGGTTAAAAAGGAAGTTCTACAGTCAATTATTTAAAAATTAAAATTAAATAAGCAAGAGTGTTTTGTTTCCAAGTGCCATCTTTTATATTACTCTATTACAAAATAATATTTATAAGCAGAATATACGGTTCACATCTAGAACAATTTTGAAGGTGACTTTGTATTGAGCCTTTTTAAACGTCCCGTTGCTGAGTTTGGGTCTCTTTTTTATGTGATGGGGGATCAAGCCATAGTCCACCACCCTAGCTAAATGCTGGTTAGTCAATTTTACATCATGGCTTTCACATGACATGCAGATTTCCTCAGGATGTTTTCCTTCACCGTAAGGTAAGTGATAATTATGTTGAAGATGATTCACACATCGCATTATAGTTTCCCGAAAGAGCCAGTGAAAGTCCCGCCTAAATCGGCCCAGCCGTTTCGAAGATTAGCCGGAAGAAACAGATAGACCGAGAGACACAAAAAAATTAAAAATTGTGTTTTTCTTATAAAAACCATATATATGGTTATATAATGCATTTAGTAAAAAACTGTTATTTTGACATTACAAACAGACACTTCAGTTTTATTTATCTGTATAGATATTATTTGGCTAGCTCTTACTTTATATTTATGTAAGGATAGATATCAACAGAAACAATTTAAGTTTAGTTTACATTTGAATATGACTTACGTGAGGAACAATTAAAGTTCATATCGCGGCGCGGGCGCTGCCCAACGGTGATTAGTCATTCGGCCTAAGGGAGCGAAGGCGATTCGTATACAACCTTAAATATAGACCTGTATAATTTTCAAATAATAACCTTTAAATACTAAGTTCCAAAAGGATAAGATCTCATAGGTTTAGTTTATATAAATTAACGACTTTTAACTGTAATTTGTACTTATTAACCAAAAGCATATTCGTATAAAGTAACTAAATGATTTTAAAAATATTATACACGTTCTGAAATCTTGGTTTAGATTAGCTTGTTCAAGATATATTTCGCTTCAGTCCGAATAAATTGACTTCTTTTTAACTGATCTACGCCCGCCCATACATTTCTCATTAATGATTTTTTTTTGTTAATTTTTCATATGGCATGTAGAGGCAGTCGCGTTTTCATGATTTGCCAACTAAAAACAAATAAGTACTATACATAGTGATGGTTACGGTTTAAGTTAATGTTTGTCTTTTGTTGAACTTAAAAATGTTGGTTATTTGACGTCATTTTTAAACGATTTCCAAAAAGGAGGAGGTTCTCAATTCGTCGGAATCTTTTTTTTTATGTATGTTCACCGATTACTCGAAAACACCTGAACTGATTTGGATTTTTTTTGTTTCAAAGGGTACCTATACTTCCCAGGTCGTTCCATATAAATTTTATCGAAATCGGTCGAGAGGTTTTTTAATTATGTTTTGCTACAATTATAGTGAACAATATTAAAAGAATGTTATTTTTTAATTCAAGTGGTTTAATTTTATTAATCTATTATTGTTTTGTTATAAAATTGAAATTGATTAATTCATTCACATTCTGGAAACAATAATATTGTTTTTAATAGTAAGGATTCAATTATTTCTATTATTTATTAAAAAAGAAGGAGAAGGAGAGAGATTGTAAGCTTCAGCTGTACATAGCATTGGTTCCTAAAAAATAATATAGATGTTAGCTTGTTAGTATGTTAGTTACAGGATTCTGAAGTGATATGTGATTGTATCATTGTACTCTCTTCCTCAACTTTGGAAAGATGAAATAGAAAAATGTGTAAAACATAAAGCTAAATACCTAAAACGAAAATTTATTTACAGAATATACCTATGCTTAATTAACATCTTTTAAAATACTGGATATTTTGAGTTACGATCGCTAAAATTAAATTTGTTTTTAATATATCTTTAAGAAATAATAAAACTTAGACAAACTTATTTTTGCAAATAATAAAGTATGTGTAGCGAAATAGTTTATTTTTTCTGCAATTTGATCGTGGGCAAAGCCGCGGTTTCTGCTAGTAGGCTTTTAAGTCGCAGTTCAGTATTTGATTTTAATAAATATGTTTTCTTTATTATATTTTAATTATTTTCTTTTTAATTTTAAAATCTGTTTATATATATATATATATATATATATATATATATATATATATATATATATATATATATAATATATATATATATATATATATATATATATATATATATATATATGAATTTAATTAACTGAACCATGAAGATATAGGAAATAGTTATATTTTTAACCTCACTCTTAGTCTTTAGCTATCCTCAGTTTTATATTTCGGTCAATCAATTTTTTATGATAACCTCAAATAGGCTACTAGATGGCGCTCCAGCGCTTTAATTTCTACAACGATTCTTAAGAAAATTGGTACACATATATTTACGCTGTTCAATTCTGCAGGTGAAACCGAGGGCAAAAGCTAGTTAGTTGATAACTAAAAAAATATATCTAATCCTGATGTTATCTACGAAATAAGTACATACCTATTTTATT